CCCCCCATATATATATATATATATATATATATATATAGCTTACGTTTTTGGTTTACGAAACACAAACAGTGCTCAATACCATATAGATAGACTGTTGTGGTTTTATGAGGTAAAACGAAAAACTATATATATAAAGGCAAGAGTCATTACACCTCTATTTATAATGTCTATCGTTCCGCTTGATTTCATCTGCTAATATAGAATAACAAGCCGGAAATTCAGTATGTTCATTAGCCGTGTTTTCACTAAGAGTGCATGGAATGTAAAGCCTCTAAGAAAATCCTTTGTTCGTAGTTCTTAACTTCCTTTTCTAATATTACAGCGTCTGATTTAGCAGCGTTGTGACCAGTACATTCAGCGTGTTCCTTAATTTATTGTCGAAAAAATTATCTTTCTTACTCCCGGTTTGTGTTCTAACCACCTTGTCGCCCAACATCTCTTTGATTCACCGATATATGTAAATGGACATTCTCTGCATTTGTATTTATGTCGATCCACGAATTTCATACCCAGCATTTGTGTTAGTCTGATGGTTGTTCGCAACAACTTTCTCAATGAAACGCTTTTGATAGCCATTTAATTTTAATGTTTCAATCACATTTTCAGTCTCTTGGGCTTGCAATACGGAAATCGTTGGGATAATTTTTGCGCGATCTAATAATGTTTTTACTACAGCTTTCTTGTCATTCACATGGTTATGTGAATTATATATATAACAAATATTTGTCCGTGTGAGAACTTTTTCGATATACACTAACATTAACATCACCAGATGTTGTGGTTATAATTTCGGTATCCAGGAACGCTATGGTTTGCTGATTCTCTGTAACAACAGGCATTTCAAGAGTAAATTGAATATGTGGGTTGATAGTATTTAGATGATTGTGAAATATTGAAATGTCCGATTGTTTTACACAGGCGTTGCTATCATCTACATATCTTTTCCACCATCGCACCCAAACGGGAGATGTTTGCAGGGCAGTTGTTTCTATTCTTTGCATGACTAATTCTGCAATTACCGCACTCACTGGCGAACCCATGGGTCATCCAAATATTTGCTGATAATAACAATCTTCATTCATGAAATAACTGTTGTTCAAAACAAATTTTAGCAAACCATAGATATGATCTGCAGATAAGCCAGTATGTTGTGTCCAAATCGTTGTATTGTTTAGCTCTTCCTTAACAATCTGGAGTGCCAAATCAACGGGGATAGATGTAAATAAAGATGTTACGTCGAATGAGACGATACGCTCATTAGGTTCAATTTTTTGATTGAAAATAAAACTGACAAATTCTTTAGAGTTCCTAACTGTGTAAACATCATTGTACAAGTATTTTAGAATGCGCGCCAAATATTTGGAGATTTCATACGTTGAAGACCCAATTGAACTATTTATTAGTCTAAGAGGAACTACCGTGTCTGCTTCTATTGTAAAATAATCATTTTGCTCAACTAAAGGAACCTTGTGTATCTTGCTGAATGCACTGGTCACAACGCTGCAAAATCAGACGCTGTAATATTAGAAAAGGGAGTTAAGAACTACGAACAAAGGATTTTCTTAGAGGCTTTACATTCCAATCTTAGTGAAAACACGGCTAATGAACATATTGAATTTCCGGCTTGTTATTCTATATAAGCAGATGAAATCAAGCGGAACGATAAACATTATAAATAGAGGTGTAATGACTCTTGCCATATACTCTGATGAAGGCTTGCAGTTCGCAGCCGAAAATTTAGTTTTTAATTTTACTAGTTTTTATTTTAAATAAAATGTTTTTAACTAGATCAGCTACAAACCTTAGAAAAGTTATCATGTATTCTACTGATCGCCTCAACAGCATATACCTTTCTATCAAGAACAACAATGGTGCTGATGCACTAGGTATGGCAAGAAGATTAGAACGATTCGCTTTAACCGAAGTTCGATATAAATTACATCTATCCTATTTACACCAATGTAAAGATGCGAAGTTGTTACCGTCTTTCCTGCAGTCAAGACCCCCCATTGATCATCCGAAAGCGTGGAAAATCACCGAAAAAGCTGGTTGGGCCTATCTACGCGTATTGATAGGAAATTGCCATAATAACTTACGCAATATCAATGTTGAATCAACCGAGCTGAACGAAAAAATCAAGAAGATCCTCGACGAAAATACACTAGGTATGTTAAAAACCACAATCTCTAATCGATGCATGTATGAAAAAAACAAGATATCAAAGAGACATGAAAGAAAGTTTACTAAAGTTCAAGGTAAAGATAAAAAACATGAACAAGCGCAGAAACGTTGGGTTATAAATAATTCTGATCGGGCATTAAATTGTCATGAAATCACCCTACTTAGAAAAGGAATGAACTTTGCTATTACTCCCAAGAGAATACCTATAAAAAACATAGTTGCTTCAGTGGAACAAGGAATTAAAAATTTAGATGCCCATAAGAAAAATAGAGTTCGAGAAAATGTTTGCTCTGTTATAAAGAACGCTAGGCACCCAAGCAACTCAAACCATTCACGTCAAGAAGAGATAGCCCTGAAAGATCTACGCAGTGACAAAAATATCTTAGTTACAAAAGCCGACAAAGGTAATGCCATGGTAGTTATGAATCAAGTAGATTATAAAAACCAAGTAGAAACAATGTTACAGGATGAGATTGTGTACAAACGCATAACGGATAAAAGACGTCCCCCCCCCCCCCCAACGACATTTTAAACACTGACCTCGGAAAGATTCAAAAATCCTTTTGTATTTCGTGAATTGAAAAGTTTTCGTGAATTGCATACTTTGTATTATTGGCATTACCATTCAGCTTAGTCACTTAGATGGTAACGCCTTTGAATATTATCGGCATACCATTCAACTTGAATGGTTATACCTTTGAATTTTATCCGCATAACCATTCAACTTGGATGGTTATGCCCATCTCTAGTGTAAGGTACGGCTCAACATAACCATGTCTCGAAAGACTATCAATCTCGTTCCCCGAGCCTGCGATCCTCGGGAAGGAACGTGAGGCTCTGGGATAATCCGTTGCCGGAAGCCAGGAATCCTGGCTAAGATTGAACTGCGCATTCCATTTCAACGGCCAATCAGATTCCTCCTTGAAACCATGGATTGTAAAATAGATAGGAAACTTCCTGACGTCATTGACTGCACTATAAATAAAACTATAAACTAGAAAATACATGCATGCAGAAACCCTCGCCTTGCTGACAAAACCATTGTATTTTCCGAACATGAAGTTCTAAAGTAGTTGTCATGGTAACACGATAATTTTTTAAGAATATTCTTACAAATGAAAAATCGCCTAAAAATATCACTTTTAATTACAAAATTATTAATTTCCCAACATAACTATATGTTAGGTATGTTTTATACGTAATATAAGGCTCAATTTAAGGTAAATTCAACCACAAACGCTTCGCAAAACGTTTTAAAGTCACTAGTGTTCATTATAAAACTAAACTGCCTTTTAAAATGGCTTTATCGATAAACTTTGAGTTAGCAATAAAATGATTTCAAATTCTGACTTGCAAATAACTCAGTGCTTTCTTTTTTATTTAGAAATTCAATATCATAAAAAAGGGAATCAATATTAAAGATACACTAAAATTATATGTTGTTTGTTTAGTTGTTTCATATACGCAAAGGCCGTCGGGTTTTAAAGCCATTATAAATCAATATTTGAAACAAACTTACCTTCGTTAACGTCGGCTCCCTTCTTTTAGACGATTCTTTCGCAGTTTCATTTTGAGAGAGCTTTTGAAATTTACAAAATCTTGCAAAAATGCGGGTAAAAATGAAATATATTTGCAAGAAATTTATCAATCATCAAATCAAGAAATGTTTGCTATTTCGCTGTCGTGATACATTCGTGCCAGTCGTTATAATGCAAAATTTAAATTGGACCAATCAGTGTCCGTTATTCATGACAGTCCGCCATATTTTTGAGATCAGTGAGGATGACCACCCATCGTTGGTCACCCACGCCCGCGATATTTGATGAACTCATTGAACTAAAAATAACTGGAACGCTACGTTCAAGCGGAAGTTTGAAGCTAAATTATACAAGCTCGTACACAGGCTTTAAAAGGCCCGTTTTAAACTGAAAAGGCCCGTTTCCCTTTCGATTCGCATCTTGCCATGAAAACGTTCAAAACGGCATGCTTCAAGCGCCCCCTGTATTGTCTCGCGAGTAAATCGCGCAGTAGAAACACGCGTGGAAGTGCGTGTCTGGGAGTCAAAACTGGCTTCATTTGGCTTCATGGGAGTCAAATTTTGGCATCAAAATTTGCATGCGCAGTTTACTGAACGTAGCGTTCCAGTTATTTTTAGTTCAATGGATGAACTTTAGACTCCGCTAATGCTTTCGTTTCCCCGGGTGTAAATAGCCGGGGGGAATTAGTACCCTCGCACGGCGCTTCGCGCCGTCGGCTCGGGGACAAAGTAACAAAGCTAATAAGATGCTGGTTTATATTCGAAGATCAACTTTAAATATTATTCGCGAGTTTACAATTCGACGAACACTGTACCTTTCTCTGGTTCGCTCACACTTAGGATATGCCACCCAAGTATGGGCGCCCCAAACAATAGAGTTGATGAAAAAGTAGAACGAGTTCAGAGGCGTGCAACAAAATATATTTTAAAGGTTCCCTTTATTTGTGATATAGAATATAGAGACCGATTCCTTGCAACCAGTTTGCTTCCTCTCAGCTACTGGCACGAATAAATGGACGTAGTATTCTTCTATAAGACAAATCACGACATTTTTAATATTGATAAAAAAAATACTTCAATTTCCTCAACCTCGGGTCAAAGACAGACAAGATCATTTAACCCCAACTCGCACAAATATAAAATTCCGACATACAAGACGTCAACCTATGAAAAATCTTACAAAATCCGAACAACAAGAATATGGAACACACTACCTAATCATATTACATCCAAAGACCGAACATTTTCAGAATTCAAGAATCTTCTTTTTATAAGTACTATATTTTAGCTTTACTAGAAAATGCATACGATGTTGAGGTCCCCGCACATGGAAAAGTGCGTGTATAAAATGTAATTCCGCCCGGAGTTTAATGAGCTCTCCATTGACATGTTGTTTTTAGACATAGTGAAGTATTGTTTATTGTGTGTGCTTAGTATACTCGTCAAGTCAGTCGCGCGACTGAAGTAAAAATTGCCTACTTAATTAAAAAAATTCGACTCCAGCTATCTATAGCGGCCAGTAGATCGAGTTATTAAAATTTTGAATCGTAAGTCCAGTTATACGTTTCATGCTGCGGCAGAGCTTCGGCAAAGTAATGTTAGTCAGTCACGAACAGCGGTCTTACGCATGAATGTTGACGGATTCGGGGGTTGAATCCGGCTATCTGATTGACTGACGCGCTCATTTCCATGGTTACAGCCATTTGCGACGGATCTGTGGGGAGGCCTGACGGATTTGCAGATTCAGGGGCTCTGCATGAGTCTTCTGATTGAACCATTTAAAAATATTCTGCACTGTCATTGGCTTATATTTTCGACGGATTCGCAGCGTGGGGTATTCGTCAACACGGCATTTGGTGTTTTATACCTCCTGAATGTTTACTATTTCGAACGTCTGGCATGTGAGAAATTTTACTATTATATTTTTACGAGCGATCTCTGCCATCGATATCTGGAAGCATTTTCGACAATATTCAGTTTGCGATTGCCGCAAACGATTTAGAATCTCTACAACGTTTGTATACGGAGCTTGAGAAGAATATCGATGCTTCACGGACAAATTCTGTTGACGAGCTACTGAACGGCAAAGTGAGCGCCATCAACAACACAAGCAGAAGCCTCGCTAGAAATTTTGGCGCAGAGAGCTACATTCCGAAGTATGTTCGAGATAAGAAAGACAAAGCTTGCACTGCAGTAAGGTAGAGAAATTTATGGTTTTATAATGATGTATCTTTAGTTTATATTAATTAAACCGAAGAACCAAAGCCGTCGGCGTTGTTAATGATTGTTTGACATATGATATTTTAATATTCGCTATGCTGTATTAGCATAATTCTCGCGTCAAGAAGCTAAAATATGTTTTATTCAATGTCCACATTGTAAGCATTTGTTGATTCTCGTGTTTATAGTGAAGTTTTATTTAAGATTTATTTATATTTATGCATCGATCACACAACATGTCGGCCTTATAGAATACTGTTTGTCCATAGCCTATCGACACGGCTTGTTAGACCGCATTGGTCTGGTGTAACATGATGATGTGAAATATTTAATAAGCTAGCTTCTGAGCACTCAGGATCTGAATTGGAACTGGATGAAAGTGACTGTTGGCACAACCAAACCAAATTTTTCGCCCGTTGTCATATCAAATTGAAAAATAAAGTATATATATAACTTTTACTAGAAGTTATTTAAGTAACTATAAGTCAGAATAAATAATGTGGAATATTCCGAACCGGTTAAAGAATTTCTCAGGGTTAATGTTCAAGTTAACCCAAACCAAGCCATGCAAATTGCAAAACGTTTCTTTATACTTATGCAAAATAGAAATGTTTACAGTTGATTTCACGAAACTTTGCCCACGCCAATTGCGAGGTTGGTTGGGAATTTGGGAACTATAAACACGAGATCATCAAGTTCATTGGAAACCGGCCAATCAAGTTTCGCATCAAATTATCGAAATTCGTTATGAAATTCCGAACCAAGTTCGCAAGCAAGTTCGCAAATTGCAAACGATTTTGACGGTAAATTTTAAAAACTAAACTTAATAACTTATTGTATTAAACTTATTATAATTTTATTATAATTTTAAACCTGGAATTATTATTATTATTATTATGATATTATTTATTATTAAATGAATAAGTTTAATACAATAAGTTTAGTTTTTAAAATTTACCGTCAAAATCTTTGCAATTTTGCGAACTTGCTTGCGAACTTGCTTGCGAACTTGGTTCGGAATTTCATAACGAATTTCGATAATTTGATGCGAAACTTTCGACTTTGATTGGCCGGTTTCCAATCAACTTGATAATCTCGTGTTTATAGTTCCCAAATTCCCAACCAATCTCGCAACTGGCATAGCCAAAGTTTTGTGAAATCAACTGTAACATTAGTCTCAAGCACAAATAATACGATGACTTCATGCCAAGTATTAAGATAATTTTAAATGATAAGAAGCTTATACAGATGCCAGCCAGTTATAAATTACCACGCAGTGGACTTTGGTCGAAACATAGTTAATAGAAACATATGCATGGTCGAAAATATACCGCGTTTATTCGTTTAGCCACGTTCAATACGTATAAAGGCCGTTTTCGACTAGGAGGAATTTCCGCGCGAAGCGGAATTTTTCTTCGTCTTGTGATTTCTCGGGTCAGTGGAACTAATTAGAAAATTCCTCCTATAGTGGCAAAAAGGGCTTTAAGCCTGGATCAAAATATTGTACTTTGGACTTGATCTCGTGGATAATGATTTAATACACTTTATACCGCATAGCAAAATTACTATTACTATATGCAAACTTACAACTATATATAATGAAATTGTTGCCACTCATTTTTAATAGCGATCAAGTCGCTTGAATTATAGCAATAGCAGGCCAAGTCAGTTGCATTGTCGTATTTGGTAACTATACTGTATACACTATATTTTTTTTTATTCTTTTCTTTCTTAAGTTTAACGTTTTTATAAGCTTTTTAGAGTTTCCATTGATAGATAGGTTGTTTGCGTCCAGTATCGTTTGGTGCGAAGTTTGGTGAAACGTCTATATAGTAGTTCTAGAAGGTCGATCACAGTATACGATAAAGTTAAGCTTTTAAGGTTGATATAAATACTGTATTGATGACCCACAGCGGCATGATACAAGTCGAAAGAAGCTGGATTTTAAGCGGGATTTTTCTTCAAATAAAGCCCAATGAGGCAATGGTAATGCCAATGAAAGGTCTTTATAAGATTTATAATTACCTGCTGTAAATTACTCTAATACATGAAATATGAAATAATTTACTATAAAGTACAATACCAGTGTCTGGTACATGTTTCATCCTAAACATTCAAGTTGTACCGCACGCACGGAGGAGTATTGGCGTTCGTGTGATAACAGATAGCTATACTTCGACATAATCATTCTTGATCGTTGAGTTTGAGCAATGCAAATGCAGGGAATTTTACAGTATCCCGTTATAAAATAAATCTTTTGTTTTGAATGTCGGACAGGATACAATTCAACTATAAACAACCATATCTTCGTTTGATCGATCCGTCGGTGTAGAAGATATGTATGTTTCTACGGCGAAACCTGGTCAACTTCGCAAGCCAGGTGCACGTGGAGTCTTACACAAGTGAAATATGATCCAGCTTCTCGCTTGAAATGTACCGCAACACTTATTATTCACAGAAGAAGAAGAAGAAGAGAGAAGTTTCTTCTTATTATTATTGACTAGAAATAGTTTACACTAAAACTGCCCCCGGCTGATTATGGTGTACTAACTAGCTGTTATTAAAAATGATCATGCCTTACGGCTTATGGCTTACAAATATTAATACGACAAAATATTATTACTACTTTCTGGCTTTCTTTTAAAACGCTTAGAAGGTTGATAAAATTGGTCGAGCTTTAAAAATGAAACAGTAACCACGTGTAACTTGGTCCTTGTGCGTCCATCTGGCTGAAGGAATGACGCTTTTCAATATAATGGAACAATGACTATGAGTCCCTTGTTACAAACGTATTTTTTGTATTTGTTTTTGACTGACTGATGTGTGAACCGAGTCTTTTGGTTCCTGTTTCGATTAATCTGACAAATCGTATAGTTGATACTTGAAAGACACGGAGTTTTTAATCTTGTCTTTTCATTATTTAACGGATTGTCTCCGTCCCCAACAACAGATGATAGTAACAACGTACATATACCTCACAAGTCTATTAATTAATAGACACGTAAAACAGACCATAGAAATAAAATGCCTTTTGACAAGGTGTACATTTAACGGATTGTCTCCGTCCCCAACAACAGATGATAGTAACAACGTACATATACCTCACAAGTTTATTAATTAATAGACACGTAAAACAGACCATAGAAATAAAATGCCTTTTGACAAGGTGTACAATAATTTCTTATAGAAAGCAACCTTTGAACCCTCACCTTTTAAACTTTCATGCGCAGCTACGGCGCTACGCCAATAATTCACTTGCCTTTTATAATAAAATTTGCCCCTCAGCTTTTAAAACTTGTGTCACTTGTGGCCTTTTGCTGTAATATATAAACTTAGTTGCTTCTAATCTTGATAGCTTTAACAATTTATGCTTGGCGGGGACTTCAATACCCCCCATTGTTTTTGCGATATTACCCACCAATGCTTTGCGGGCAAAAAACTTAAATTTCTGTACCTCTGGCAATATATTGATTTATAATATAGCACGGAAACGTCGGAAAATTTATTTCTTTATATTTCTTTGTGCTATGTTATAAAACAAATATAAAACTTTTTTCCGTATTGATTTTCTTTCACGATTTCTTGTTGCAAATTACATGTTTATCATCCGAAACTATAACACATAAAATTGCAATTTTCCAAACGCGACAAACAGACTCCTCTACTGCCCCTCCCTGAGACAATTTCAATTTACCACGCAAAATCTGCGAGATGATCGAGTTATTTATAGAATTCAATCCACTATTTAATAAAATGAAAGAGTTGGAACTATTAGTAGCCACAAGTGCAAGCAAGTATCGTAGCCACAACAGTTTGAGAACAACGAGTTTTCCCGGTCATACAGTATATGTCTGGTCTTTGCACAGAGGTTTTCCAAGATTTTATCATCATGTATATTCTAAAGGTAAAATTATAGATTTTAAAAAATATGCACTACTACATGATATAACGTTGTTCAATTAATTATTATAGTTCAATATGGTAATTTGCTACATCTGGTTCTTTTTAATCAGTAGTTCAATAGGCAATAAGCAATACTTAATTGTAACTTCGAATCGGTGATTAATATTTGATCTATACATTGGCATATATGATAAAATATATAATAGACTATAATTATTGTTGATGTCGATGATATCATTATAATTAGCTAGCGGCAAACAACTCACTTTGGTCTTTGTCTTTTGGGAGGTAGTCCCAGCATAAGTATTTACTGTAGATGAAAGTGAAATGATTATCTTAATAGGAGAAGGGCCGTAGAAGGCAAAGAAATAACGAGAATATTGTCGAATGATTGTCGAATTCAGATTGTTCAGCTAGTACATCTATGGTGGTATTTCCCATACACATTCCTAAATTGCAAGAAACATGATTTCGATTGCGCTCGAGCGAGAAAATACTCAGTCGCGGGGGACAAATACGATGAACGGTATATGCCATAAAAAACCAACCATAAAAACCCATAAAAAGTCACCTGCATGTGCATATATATATAATAAGACTGTAAGAGATCTAGACACACACCCTGCCCGCTTCGGTGTAATGTATTTTGTCATGATTAGTGAAACGGGGTTATTTGTATTAGTGTTTAGCCCGCAGAGAAACTGAATGCCAGATTGAAATTTGTTTCATTACATTTGAATGTCATGCAGTAGAGTGAGGAGTTTTTTGAAGAATGAAATCCCATGGCCAGATCGAAATACTCGTTATTTAGCTGTTTCTGTGGATCTGAACAGGAGAATATACGCTACTTAATTCACCGGCTCTTCAATTCATATATTAAATTAATAAACTGGCAATTTCCATCAACGTCGAGCAAAATGTCCCTCCCCTCCCAATCAGTCAATCGAAAGTCGTGGGTTAATTCGGGTACTATAACGTTTCCTCCCACAAAGTATAGCGACCTTAAGGTCCAGACACACCGGACGCGATTCGACAACGCGATGCGATTTTTCGATTTTCATTGAACGATAACTTTGATCCTAGTTTAAATTTTCTAAATATTTAGAAGCGTTATAACATTTTGCGTTATTCGATCTACATACCTTTCAAAATTTTCTCTCATTGGCTGTTTTATTAACTTTCAAAAACTAAAAAATCGCGTCGCGTTGTCGATTCGCGTCCGGTGTGTCTGGACCTTGAACTGATGTAGGACGCGAAAGCGACGGCGACGGCAAACAAACTCGTTGAACCAAATGATTGCTGAAGAAACCCTGTCGTCTATTATCTATCGTATGAAAATAATACAGTTTTAGGTTCAAAATTAAAACTGGGTTTATGATTGAGAAAAGTTCCAGGACCCAATTTAAAATAGGATTTCTCCCAGCTTGAAATGTAAGCGTTGCCAAGACGTGATAATCTGTATTTCGCCGTTGTTGAGATTTCAATCATTAATTTCTGCTCATTTTCTTGCATTAATATGATATTATTAGCTGTTCTCGTTGCACTTTCGTTTTGCTTTGGAGTTCTTAATAACGGTAGTTCTTTATAATTATAAAAGTTTAAGGCGGCTTCCGTTGACCATAGTTAATAGAGGACAGCGTTGACACGTTCCCGTACTAGATTAAGCTTTGCTTAAGTTCACTAGTGTTGACAGGGAGGGGTGGGATAAACTGGCGCTCTCGAAAAGCCGCCTTCGACTCGAGCAAGTTGAGCTGCGTCATTCAGCTTAGATTTCAGCTTCAAGTTTCAAGTAAAGATGATTAGCAAACATTCACTAAACATATAAAATGTAGTTCTTTGTAAAATCAGTATATTCTAAGAGCGATGTTTATGGAACTGAAACGATAACAAGGTAAGAGGTCGGGTGGGGTGGAGTGACAAGATGCGGGGGTGAAAAGGCGTGGAAGGTGCAACATGTACACATGGAAAGTTGCAGTATGTGTTTTCGGTTCTTGCAAATTCTTCAATTATGTTGTTTTCAAGAAATAACTTAACTTGAAACAAAAGATTCGATATACTGACATTTTTCATGTTGATCCTGGAGCCACATAAATGATCTAATAATCCTAGTCATCAACTACAGGTTACTAAAATCATTACTGCATCATTTTTACACCAGAGATGCAAGGACTTTCAAGGTTATGATTATATAATCTGCTAAATATTGGAAAGTTTACAGACTGTATAATATATATTATCAGCCTCCCCCAACTATGCCTCTCTCTCTTCTACACCCCTCTCTAAGAGTCTTTTTAAGGTTAGGTAATGTGAATGGATTAGGAAATAACGTACTGAGACAGTTTTACATATTTTTCCTAGAGTTTCTCAACGAATATTATTGTTCTAACCGCCATCCTGTTTATCATGATTCATGTTAACAAATCAATTGCTCGTATGGAACGTGGCAGTTCAAATCTAAGGAAATTCGTGAAGTAAGTACGAAACGATGATCATGCATGCCCGCGCGTATAGTCAGGCGTACAAGGTGCATGGTATTAGAGAGTTTTCGATCTTGCTACGAGATTGATTTATTTGGATAGCCATGCATAACTTACTTCACAAAGAGGAATAGCCCCCTGGTAGCTAGAGGATCATAAACATTCACAAAGTTCGTACACTTCATCCAGTTTCATTTGTTTTATATTAAAAAGTTAATTCTCATATTTCAGATACGATGTGGAGAAAATTTCTTGGTTGAGACAAAAGCGAACCCATGCATACAGAAATCCCTGTGAAAAAGACGAAAACGTTGTAAATACAGGTAGTTTGGACACCGACAGTTGCTCAACTTGTATGTACTTTTCATCAACACTCAAAGAAGTCAAGTGTAGCACGGGCAATGGTTTAAATGTGAAAGGCAAAACAAGTTGTAATTATAATATTGATGGTGATTGTATTAACATCGAAGCAACTATAAAAGTAATCAAAGTATATTCAAATGGTCAGCATGTAGAACGTGATGTCCATCTCAAGGTTGGATGTGCGTGCATGTTGCTGCCGGTTTAACGGTTTTATGAAGCTTCATCAGTCTTTGATCTTTACCTAACTGTATTGGAAACTCTCAGATAAATATTCGCCTAAGCACGGTTGACTAGTAGCTCAAGAATCAGTGTAGATTGTAGTTAGGACATTATAACAAGTGGAAGTTACTTGTAAAGATTAATAAATGGCTCAGTTTCGCATGCCAATTTTGTCAGCATAATTGATTGCTGAATGTATTACTGAACTATACTCTATATAATGATGTGTGGAACACCTTGGGCTAGCTGTGCGAAGGCTGGATACACTGATCAGTGGCTGGACAGTGCTATCCACTGGATAGCAACTACCTGAAAAATACAAAACGATTTTGGACGCTTCGAACGAGAAGGGTCTTCCAGGAGGAATGATCCATGATTCCTCGTTCCCACCAGCTTACATGTTCCCTTGTTTCTTATGATTCTCCCGCTCTGTTCCCATGTTCTAACTGCAAAATATGCCTTCCCTAAAATACCCTGGGAGACCCTCAGTGAAGGTCCTTCGCCTGGAAGTTGTATTTTTGAGCTAGTTGTATTTCCAACAAAATCTGGCACCGGCCGTTTAATAAGATTTTATCATGAGAACGGAAAGTCAGCAACCTTTCCGGCTTGAAATACCTGAAACTATGGAAACTGTGAACCACATGCATGCAGGCACATATATATGGACCTCGCAATTAACTAAAAAGGAACAGTTAATTTATAAAGTTTGACCTCAAACTCAATACTTCGTACAAACTTCCTGAAAAATATAGACAATAATTCGTCGAAGTTTTGCATTTTGAGCAAGGCTTTGCCTGGACGTTCGTGTGAACTGCAAGCGAAGTTAATCATCAACTTCAAGAAAAAGAGCCTTCGCTTGAACGGTTGAAGTATTTAGTCTATATTTCAGGCAGTCACATCCTTCAGTCGTACCGCTAGGCTTCAACCGACTTCTTGAATGTTGCCAGCCTGCATCGAGGACTTTTGCATTCGCGGATGGATGAGTGAATGGCTGGGTTTTTGCGGCCTGAACTTAACTTGATTTAGAAAACTTTCTTAATCTCAGGCTTTTTCAGATAGCTTGACCTCAATAGCTCATAGAAAACATCGTTCCCCAACAAAAGTTGCACTTGGAAAACAAAAGTATTTCCGAATTTTGGAGACTTGTTCCCAGGAAGGCAAATTTTGTTTCGCCAGCAATATTGTTTCTAAGAGTAGGCAAACACAGTAACCCTAACAGCAAGACGGAATATAATTTCCGTGAAAAATATATTTAAAACAGGAAGACTTCATTACTTCAGGTTTACTGAAATTAAGAAAGAAAACAGATACAGCCATACAGGCATTTTAGAAAGTGATTCCATTGTAGTCCTCTCCGAAGAAAGCATTTCTTGTTGGCACAGACAATGCCCTACAGTGTCGTATATTATATAATATTAGTATTTTTGCACAAGTGAACATAACAAATCCTACAATTTGATTGGTCAAATTTGACGTATTAAGTTGCTATATTCACCTACAGGTGAAAATAACAAAACCGAAATTTACAAAATGGCGGCTAGACGTTTCGGGAAAGTTACTGGTAAAGAAATAAGCGAAATTAAAATAAATTCAGTCCCAAACAACTTGTGTAAAAATACTAAAACAATTATTCGCCTCAGGCTCATATGCCTGCCCATTTGTAGCAATATTTAATGTGTTCCTATATATATGCATTCCAAAAATCTTTGTAAAAATTTATGCTCAAATGTCTTTGATTTGAACTGCTTTGTTTGTGAATTTAAACATTTTCAAATAATTATTTAAACTTTTCCAAATAATCATTTAAACTTTTTCAAATAATCATTTAAAATTTTGCAAATAACCATTTAAAACTTTTGCAAATAATCTTTTAAACTTTTGCAAATAATCATTTAAACTTTTGCAAATAATCATTTAAACGTTTGCAAATAATCATTTAAACCATTTCAAATAATCATTTAAACTTTTGCAAATAATCATTTAAACTTTTTCAAATAATCATTTAAACTTTTCAAATAATCATTTAAACTTCCTGGGGCGACTACCCGACGCCGCGGACACTCTCTGGGCGATGCCAGTAAATTAAGATGGCGGACGATGTGGAACATTTCTTAGAGTTTGTCTTAAAAAGGTCCGAAGAAATAAGTTTGCAGGAAAACGAAGACATTCTCTCTGAACTATTAAAACATATATATTTGCTTGGTAGGACAGTACAATTACTGGAAGAAATAAGAGATTTTGTTGTGAATGCTGGTGAGCCTGATTCAGGGAAATGGCAGCAATTGGTGAACGTTTATTGTGAAATTGAAAGCGAATTTATTTGTCTCTACAATCGCGAATTAAGCAACTCGAATTACCGTAACATGCCAACTACCGTTGTTAATTGAGGAAACTAAATGTCATAGCAGACCGGGTTATCACATTCCAAAGGAGAGTCTGGTAGAATTACGAGGACTTCATTTTTCTTGGCCATGGTGCAAGATCTCGGAAATGTTTCGCGTGCGGCAGGTACAAAACGCAGGTTGCAGGTTGGAATTTTGCAGGTTGGGAATTTTGCAGGTTGGGGATTTTGCAGGTTGGCGATTTTGCAGGTTGGCGATTTTGCAGGTTGGAATTTTGCAGGTTGCCAGGAATTTTGCAGGTTGATAATGCAAACTTAAAATTACACCACAATAAAGTATTCTAGTATAATTTAATTGTGTACCGTACTTATTGCAGTCTGACTCCTTGTCGGCGCTTTTGATATCAGCCTATCCTTCTACCATGTTCCTAGCCTCTGCTCTAAGGAATAGCCATCACCCTTGTGAAAACATTCAAAATGACCAGATTGGCTTGGACCTTCAGGGGACGAATGTTTCGATTGTTGCGAGGTGCCTACATGACGTGGTGGCAGTTCAGAAAATGCCTGAATGAGGTGTATCTCCTCTGCACCCACTTATGAGAAATCCACTCAAGCTCCCAATTACTGTATCATTACTCGAGAGTTAGTTAACTTTTAACAACATTCTAGTATAAACGCGCCAGGTCATGTAGGCACCTCGCAACAATCAAAACATATTCGTCTCCCTGTAGGTCCAAGCCAATCTGGTCATCAATTTTTAATGCTTTCACCGGGGTGATGGCCACTAGCCTTAGAGCAGAGGCTAGGAACATAGCAGCAGGATAGGCTGATATAAAAAGTGCCGACAAGGAGTCAGACTGCAATAAATGCACAACTAAGTTATACTAGAATACTTTATAGTGGTGCAATTTTAAGTTTGCATTATCAACCTGCAAAATTCCTGGCAACCTGCAAAATTCCAACCTGCAAAATCGCCAACCTGCAAAATCCCCAACCTGCAAAATTCCCAACCTGCAAAATTCCAACCTGCAACCTGCGTTTTGTACCTGCCGCACGCGAAACATTTCCGAGATCTTGCACCATGGCCAAGAAAAATGAAGTCCTCGTAATTCTACCAGACTCTCCTTTGGAATGTGATAACCCGGTCTGCCATGACATTTAGTTTCCTCAATTAACAACGGTAGTTGGCATGTTACGGTAATTCGAGTTGCTTAATTCGCGATTGTAGAGACAAATAAATTCGCTTTCAATTTCACAATAAACGTTCACCAATTGCTGCCATTTCCCTGAATCAGGCTCACCAGCATTCACAACAAAATCTCTTATTTCTTCCAGTAATTGTACTGTCCTACCAAGCAAATATATATGTTTTAATAGTTCAGAGAGAATGTCTTCGTTTTCCTGCAAACTTATTTCTTCGGACCTTTTTAAGACAAACTCTAAGAAATGTTCCACATCGTCCGCCATCTTAATTTACTGGCATCGCCCGGAGAGTGTCCGCGGCGTCGGGTAGTCGCCCCAGGAAGTTTAAATGATTATTTGAAAAGTTTAAATGATTATTTGAAAAAGTTTAAATGATTATTTGCAAAAGTTTAAATGATTTATTTGAAAAGGTTTAAATGATTATTTGCAAAAGTTTAAATGATTATTTGCAAAAGTTTAAATGATTATTTGCAAAAGTTTAAATGGTTATTTGTAAAAGTTTAAATGATTATTTGGAAAAGTTTAAATGATTATTTGAAAATGTTTAAATTCACAAACAAAGCAGTTCAAATCAAAGACATTTGAGCATAAATTTTTACAAAGATTTTTGGAATGCATATATATAGGAACACATTAAATATTGCTACAAATGGGCAGGCATAGGCTCAGTGATTATCGGGGATTATTATATACCAATAGTCAAAGTCGCATTTTTCTAGTGTTTTATTGATCGAGAGCATATCACGTGAGAGTACGAAATTAGGCTGTCTCCCTCGCAACAACGCGAGAGGGAAACAATATACGTTATCGACCGGCGAATAACGAAAAAAATCACGTGCGCCATCATGTGAAGATGCGACCTTTGGACATGCCTAGTAATTTAAACTTTCTGCTTTTGAATTAAGTAACTGCAGTGTTTAAGGGACCAGTCATTATTAATGCCGGGTAGGGGGCCGGAGGAAATTTAGAGGGGCCACAAAAACTTTTTGACCAGTGAAGGGGGGGGGGGCAGAAAATATTTTGAACATAAAGGGGGGGGCAAAAAATAAAATCTATGGAATAGTTTGTAACATGTAATATCAAAAGAGTAATGGATATATACAGTATACATACATGCATTGAACAGTAATGCCCAATATATTGAACCTAAGAGTTGTGTTCTAGCTACTGTATATTAAAATTGTCATCCTCATCATCACCGTAGAACTTGTCTGAAGGGTCATGCACTGCATTTGCAAATGCAAGATTCAATTGATAGTTGTTGTCCTGTTTTATGCTTTTTAACACAGTGGACCTCTTTGGCATGTTCTGTTTCTGCATGTTGTTGACAGTCTCTTCTGCCATCTCTTCAATATAATGCTTCCGCCAGACACAAATGTATTTTTTTCAAATAGTAAAAGTAGGCCTGATGTGTGGGTTTTTTGTTTGAGGGTCAACAACTTGTCAGGTATAAAGTCTGAATTGTCTATTGTGTCTATTGTGAAACTAAAGTGTTGTCACTCCTGTCCACCTTGGCTATCATTTTCAATATTTACAATATTCTTTACAGCTGCAAGAAACAGTGCCTTAGAGTCATTGAATTCAGAATTGGGGGGGGGGGCTATGAAATATGTTGCCTCAATAAGGGGGGGGATAAAATGATATTTTCTGATATTTTTTAATATTTTTTATTAAAATGTTTTCCCTTCATAAAAATTTCCTCCGGCCCCCTACCCGGCATCAATAATGACTTGTCCCTAATTTAACGTTTTAACAATAAAATATTTCATGTATTTACGTTCATTTGTTCTTTAATTTATTGTTTCTTTGACTTTTGATATATAATAAAACACTTATTTACTGAGACCACACTTATTTACTGAGACCTCGGGAAAGCAGTGTGTTTTATGGACCCTCGATGTTTCCCAAGGCGAATCGACGGTCTCGGGTCCACAAAACACACTGTTTCCCTCAGTCTCAGTAAATAAGTGATAAATATTCACCGCCTCTCGTCGCACGTCTCGGTGAATATTCCCCGATAATTACCTCAAGCGCTTTAATTGGTCGAGAGCCAGATTTATTGGACGCACGGAATTACGTCACAGAAAACTTTGTTCTGTGAAGCCAATCACAACCTGTTCTGTGAAGCCAATCACGTGACTTAAGGTAGCCAATAGCATTCCCTTATTTGTATGGATCATGTATACGCGTGATATTTGTAAAATTTGGACTTTTTCAAATTTCCAAATGTTTGAGTGGGTAACAAGGAAGCTATTTACCTGTTTAATTCGGGGGTTTTCGTTTTATTATATAAAACAAATAGATATGATTTTGCCGTTGTCTGTTCAAACAGGGTGTCCCAAAAAACCAAAACGATTGAAATAACATATTGTTAAAATTTGAATGTTAAGAAGCACTAAGCTGAACGCAAAGATGCGTAAAATATTGACAAGGTGCATATATTAAATTTTGACTGATTAAGAAATTAAAATATCTTTGTAAAACGCACGATTTTCCGCTCTTGGGAATTTAGGTTTCTCATGCGTTTATTCCACCTGAAGTTAAGAAAGGAATGCCGTCTTGGGTGTGCAGTATTCTTGGCAATTGTAACGCCAGCAACACCAACAGCAGTGGTCATGTTGTTCAAGAGGAAGTTTCCCTTGATAACAGCTAGAACATTTCTGGAAGATTAAGTTCTTGAGAAACTGGAATCCAAACCAATGCCCGTTGAAGACCAATATGCCCAAAGAGTCATCGAAAGTACGATTTCCAAAGTATAGATGACCAGTATATCAAATGGGTTTGTTTAGTGTGGAAAGAGCAAAATCCTAGATTGCCATGTAATCGAGTGGCCGCTGAAGCTAGATTAAGCCACCTGAAGAAACGCCTTATTTCAATCTACGTGTCGTTGGTGAACGGGTCCATCTTTCCTCTGGCAAGTTGACGCCGATGTCAGCTCAACGAGAAAACATGGCGGACAACATGTCCAATTCTGTAGTTGAGGAAAATGTTAATATTTCATCGGAAGATCTCCTAAACAACCTTGCAAAACTTCAGCTTGATAATAAATCGATCACTGTTGAAAAAGGGAAACTAAAATGGATGAAAAGTTTTGAATCTCTTAAAAAATCGTCGAAACAAGCTTGCAGCTGAAAGGTCAGTGGTCGTCGCCTGGCTGGCATTTGAAACCACTCAAAGAAACGTCGGGAAGCGCTATTATCAGGTACTATACCAGTATACCAACTCAGCTTCAATCTTAATACAAGAACTGAAGGTAAGAAACTTGAGAACACATTGCTTGAGAAAAGGGCAAGTAATCAGCGACTGAGTTAAGATTGATTCGCTGCGAATAAAGATCAGTCGATCGGAAGAAGACTCGTGGGGCTGTTTATATGAGAGGCGGGACGGGAAGTTTGCTGGGACGGGACGATGAACGGGATCCCGGCTTGTATAAATTTCTATTATACTTATTACCAGATGTTTATATGGAAGCGGGACGTTTTTCGTCCCGTCCCGGGCAAGCGGGATCCCGGTTTGTACAACCGAGATCCCGCCTCAACCGGGACATTTTCTTCCATGTAAACACTTGGTGCTCGGACGGGATGGAAGGCGGGATGATTTTGGTGTGTTGAAATACATGACTAGGCTTAAACGAAAGGTCAAACACCGTTAAAGAAACTCAAATGTTGTTTGAGAAGATCTCGTAGTTGAAGAAAATTATTATTGCTGCTTGAACAACCTTTCGTTTACAATTATACTGTAATCTATCACTAGAAAAATAATGTGATTTTGCTAAATCGTGCACCGTGACTTATTTCAATACGTCAAAGTCATCTCGTCCCAGCAAAGCGGGATCATGTAAACAGCTCTCAACCCGGGATATATAAATCGTCCCGTCCCGGCAACAGAAAATAGCCTCTATACATGTATAGAGAATCTTCCTAGTGCTAGCGAAAGTTCTATACTGGCAGACGCACTTGCAAAAGAGACAAATTTCGAGAGTAACACTGCTATAACCGATAACTCTAGCCAGATAAACGGGACGAAGTAAATGGCGTCCAAGTTACAAATACCAGTTCGGTTCACTCGACAATTTGCTACTTAAATCGTGAGCCTCAAATATAAAATCTCTAATCTGCAGACGACCGTATTTTCTTTTGAAACTACATTAAAAGACCATGACTCCATATTATCTCTGTACAATGACTACAATAGATCTTCTGACTTACACGAGAAGTATCTAAGAGAAATAAATGAGAGTAAACAACAAATAATCAGTCTTGAACAAAAATTAGTGAAACTTGAAGAAGAGAGGGACACATTGCAATTGCCAGCAAGGCTAATTGCTCAAGATAAATATTGCAGAAATAGTGAAAGTAATTTCTTAAGGTGGCAAAATGTATCCAAAAGTAATACAACCGATCGTGATATTACTAATAATCTAGTACAAATGCCGAATACTTCAGACATCCATGTTCATATTCCGTGATAGATGACCCTCCAGTAAACACGAAGCTCTAGGAAGATGTTCTGTGACTGGTTGATTGTAACAATGACAAAAGACGTAATTGGCTTACATAAGGGAAGCCTCACATATCGATTTCGTCCATGAGAAACGTCATATGTTCGTTTCTCTGGAGACCCCCCACCCCCTTAGAAACGTCACACGTATTATCGATATTTTGTTCGATATGTACAGTAGTATACATAAGGTAATTTTCTACTATTTTCTACGGTCGGCTATTGGCGATGCTTCCGCGAGGAATATGTCATCTTCTGCTGACATACTCTTTTTTATTAATATAAGTATGAACTTCAAAATTTCCAACGTTTCTCAAAACAACTTTTTTTGCATGAAATATTGATAATTTTAGCGCGTTTTTTTAAAAATTTGAGTGTTTTCAATGCAAGGAAGGCGTAATAATATAAATGTATAGGTATGGAACAGGTATGGTATTACGAATATATAGACTGCTGTTTGTATCAAATTGTTTTCTTTTTTATATTCTGCAAAGATAAAAACTATCGAATTTTTCCATGATGTTTACAGAGAAACGTCACAGCTGCCAACCCCCCCACCCCCAAACGAACATATGACGTTTCTCGTGGAAAAAATCGATATGTGAGGCTTCCCTAAACAAAAGGAATATTGTTCTTGCTTCGTTCTTTAGAAAATCCATTCTATAGCATATTCTTTTGTCATTGTGATAATCAACCAATCACAGAACATGTTCCTAGAGCTTCGTGCCGACCCTAGATATGAATCGCTAATTGTGAAGGGGATTACAACGGCTCTAATAACCCGGAAAATAATCACGAGACCTTTCAAATTAATTCACAATACTTGTCGCTACATTCCATGCGAAATCAATCTCATTTGAATAGTAATAGATACTCCCATGAATTATAGACTAATTTTAAAACTAGGCAAGGAGATGCAAATAAATCACCGCAGCTAGAAAGAGCATACTAAAATGAGTAAAATTGCAAAGTTTGATTGCGAAATGTTGTAAAATGCGGAAAATATAGCCTTGCAAATTTGCAAATTTAATTTGTATACTTTTGTATTGCGTGGTAGGAATTTCCGCACGCAATACAAAAATAGTATACAAAACTTGCAAACTTTGTAAGGCTATATTTTCCGCATTTTATAACATGCACATTTCGCAACCAAACTTTGCAATTTTACTCATTTTAGTATGCTCTTTCTAGCTGTTGTGATTTATTTGCATCTCCTTGCCTTGTTTTAAAATTAGTCTATAATGGGGATTAATAGTGTCTATTCCGAGCAATCTCCAGAAGAGCATAACAACGAACCTCGACACTCACAAGAAAATTATCAGCGTCAAAATACCAATAATCATAGTTAATATGCAATAATCAACAAACTGGGCAAGCCAAGTCAAGAATGCATAATCAACAAAGTAGGCAAATCAACAATCCCACTGAAGGAGCTGATCATAACTCCACTTATTCGGGCCCGGTGCACAAAGCTCCGAACAGTGCGTGGTTTTAATTGGGGACTCAATTATCAAGAACATTATCCCCCACCCAGAAGCTGTCACCTAATAAAGTTCATAAGTTTACTTACCCTGGAAAGTCAGCAGAAGAAATAGAATCAGAAATTCGAAACGTAGATTATGCAAGCATTTCGCCTTCACATGTTATAATACATTGTGCCAATTGACCAATCAAATGCTTGTCTTAATAAAATAGAGAAATTATGCTCTACGGTGGCATGATAAGTTTCCAAATGCCGATGTTGGGATCTCGGGTATTACTATACAATAAGAAACGATATCGAATCTTCTGCTAAGATCGGCAGATGTTAACAATATAATAAAATTAAAGAAATGTGTATTGGACATAATTATACTTTTATAGATCATAAAAACATAAATGGATCCTGCCTCAATGTTCTGACAAATACTCCTGAAAACATTTTAACAAGACACATTGGCATCTCTGATCATAGCTTGGTATATACTGTACGCAAATTTAAATTATCTAAATTTAGACCTACTGTTAAAGAAGTCCGGGACTTTAAACATTTTTCAGATACTCAATTTCGTTCAGATCTATCTCAGGTACATTGGGATACGATTCTGAGATATGATTATCCTAATACATGTTGGATTGTTTGGAAATTAAATCTATTTTTCACGAAATCCTAAACAAGCATGAAATAGAAGAACTAAAGCTAATCCAGTTCCTAATTGGATTACGCCCACTATCAATAAAATTTATCACTATATATAAAATTTAACTCTACAGTAGAATACACTGGGAAAAGTATCAGTTTAAGTGAAATAAAATAAATACACGAATGCGTAAAACAAAAGCCGATTTCTATTACAGAAATCTCTGTTAATAATCGTAACATTACCAACTCGAAACTTATTGCGAAGCCTTTAATGAATATTTCGTTACATAGGCCCAAACTTGGCATCTGAGGCAAGTCATGAACTCCCTGAAGAGGAAATGAATAACTGTTACATTCCTAACCCTCATGCAAATAAACACAAAATTTCAGCAGTTCCATCAAATTAATGTAGAAAATGTAGCCTTGGCTTTAATGAATTTAAAGACTAACAAATCTACTGGTCTGGATAAAATTCCAACCAAAGTCCTCAAGCTGTCTGCAGATATCATAGCTCCGGCACTGTCCTATATATATTTAATCTATCATTCGAAACAGGGATCTATGTTGACGACTGGAAACGGGCTCGAGTGAATCCAATTTATAAATCAGACGAGACTAAAATGTGAAAATTATAGATCGATTTCTATAATCTGGATTTCGACCTAAACACGCTACACTGTCCTCTTTGATACAAATGTGCGATGAATTATTTGAGAATATGGATAATGGCAAAATAAATTGTGTCGTGTTTCTTGATGTACGTCAGTAATTAGGCCTTTGATTTTATAAACCATGAAATACTATTAAAAAAGCTGCTTAACTATTTTGGTATATCAGGAATGCCATTAAATTGGTTCAAGTCTTATCTATCTAATAGAGAGCAGCAATATCTTGTAAACGCGCGGTCAGTTATCGAGCCCGAGAAAGATAAAATGTGGTGTACCGCAGGGGTCTATCTTGGGTCCTTTATTATTCCTATTGTACATAAACGATATGCCTGACTCCTAAAAATATTCAATTCCATCCCTCTACGCAGATGACACAAAAATTTATCTATCTTCTAAAGGTTGCGATGACATTCAGTGTTATTAATTAAAATAAACCTTGATCTTGAAAGTATTCGAAAATGGATGCTACGAAATAAGCTCCAAATTCATCCTACAAAATCGAAATATATGCTCGTTGGATCAGCGTATTATAATATTGAATATAAGGTATCCGGCAACCCTATTCTCGTTAATAACGTTCCAGTACCTAGGACGGAAAATTATATTTGCCTAGCTTGGTGTCAACATTGTGACGAAAGATTGACCTGGGAAAAACATATTGATATGTGATATGTTCAAAAGTTAGTGCGGGTATCGGGGCTATATATTTATAAAGTTTTTATACAAAATTCTGAATAACCATACCGCACCAAATCTAAGAACATCCTTTCGATTGAATAATGAATGTGATAATACCTATGATCTTAGAAATAGAAAACCGAATTGTCTCTTTCTAAACAGAATACCGATTTTGGTAAAAGATGCTTCAAATATAACGGAGCGGTAGTATGGAATAATCTACCGTATGAGATAAAAGTAGCGGAATCTTTAAGTTCTTTTCAAAGAACTATTAACCAGGCAAACACTTAAAATTGGTCGCCCTGTTGCCTACATATAGTAATTCTTCTTTGTTTTTGTATTCTTGTATAATCTAGTAATGTTTATCTGTATGCTCTTTTTAAAATCACGCCCCTCATGGAAATCAGCTCTGAGTTGTTGAGGCCAGCGTGCATAAATAAATTTTTGTATGTATGTATGTGTATGTGTGTATGTGTGTATGTATGTATGTGTGTATGTGTGTATGTATGTAACTCAGCATGTAGGCGACGTTCCAGATAACGATACGGAACTCCAGACAGAGAAGCACGTGATGATCATTTCTCCCAGCCTTTCCTTAGATCAATTCCTAAACCAATGTTCGTGATCAATGGACTATTTGCATTATGTATTTGCAAAATGACTGAAAAACAGCAAACTTCGCAAGGCTATATTATCCGCATTTTACAACATTTCGCAACGAAACTTTGGAATACTACTAATTTTGTGATGCTCTTTCAAGCTGTGATGAATTTTTTGTCTAGACTTGTTTATATCAAAGTTTATTCTATAATGCAAATGGCCATTGTCCAAAAATGATTTGGAGTGATAACGGTACAAATTTCACTGGTGCAGAGAAGGGGCTTTATCAATCCATCATATCTGCAACTGGAAGAAGGAAACAGTCCAGAATGAGATGAGATTGAAAGAAATTGAGTGGGAGATTTGTTCAATTTCCAAATGGCGTTTTCAACCTCCAGCAGCTAGTCATATGAGTGGAGTCTGGGAACGACTCATCCGCAGAGTGAAAAGATCAATGAAGGCGGTAAATTACCACCGGTAATCGGTCACCCTTATGCCTTTCTGAGTAAAGAAACATTGTGTATCCTTTTTGCTGAAGTGGTTACCAATACTATCCTCAACAGCCGCCCATTCTGCCCTAGCAGTGAAGATCCGAACGGTTTGGAACCCCTTACGCCAAACCATTTATTACTACAACGCTGAAGTCTCGTTAATATTCCACCTGGCATATTTACCGAAGAAGATCTACACTCCTGTAAACAATGGAGACGTGCCCAGTTTTTGGCTAACTGTTTTTGGGCCAGATGGATGAAAGAATATTTGCCAATATTACAAGACCCTTATAAGAACGCCTGGAAGTAGACGATCTTGTGTTGGTAGTTGATGAAAACATCCCCCGTGGACGTTGGTTACCTGACCTATGTATGAAGGTATTCCTGGCTGGTCGTGATGGTCGTGTCAGGACAGCCATAGACAAAGGAACTGTTTGTTCATGTTCATCTTGTTCATATGTTATCATGTAAAACGTAATCAGGGCAGTCGGAATCTAAATTGCGTGCTGATCGAGGAAATTTCAAAACATAGTTGTCATAGTTTATAATCGAAGTTGTTTTAGAGTATACTCTGCGTCCAAACTGCAGAGTATGGCAGTTGCACACCGGAGATTTATACTTCAATTAATTAGTGCACAGCCGAGCACTTCGAGCGCCGGAGGCGCGACCCATCTAGGGGGGTCCGGGGGCATGCTTCCCCGGGAAAATTTTGAAAACTAGCCTCCCAGAAACACGAAATCCTGCAATTTGGGCATTAATTTCTCATTTTCAATTGACTTCAAAAAACCGGAGATGTTCATCATGTTCTAACTTTTTTACATGAACAATAAATCAGCCCAACAGTCTTCCTAACCGATTTAAAAAACTCGTAACAATAAAAACTGTGTAGTCTGCATTGCGCAATTTGCGCTTAATTGCACACCAGTGCACCAGAAATATTTTGCTTGCACACCAGGGCACCAGAAAATATGTTCCTGCACACCGGAGATCTCGTCGAAAAACGCCATATTCTGTAGTCTGGCTCTGTGTTAGAGTTTTGTAAAAATATTATATATAAATATAAAACATGAAGTGCTTCCCGTTCTGGCTGTTGATAAAAATAAACGCGGGCTCGAAACCCCTGAAAATCGTGAAGTAGCCCCCCTCAAACATCGTCATTCTTTCTTGTTGAGCTGTCGTTCTGGTACACGAGGTTAGTATTTCTGTTGAGAATTATTGTGTTTTTGCCACTATTTTGGCTCCTCTTTGTTGTAGGAACAAGTTGCTAGTATAATAAATTGTGTAGTCGTAGTTTGTTAGCATTATACCGCGGTTTTTGTTGCAATATATGCGGTGAAAAGGTAAGTAATATTTGGGGAACTGAGACCTTTTTCATATTGGGACGTCTACAAAATACTGTAGGATACTAAATATGCTACAGTGTTTTGTTCAGGTCCTTCATATATAATGAGTGTTTTATCTAGTTTGTAAAATAAACCCTATTTAATGACAATGCTGTAATGCACTTGTCATCGGCTTCCCCAAGGGGTTGACCCCCGGGCTAACCACGGGGATTGTCCAAGGTGGGGATGCAATCTTAGTGAATTTTCCGGGGGGTGGAGGAACATAAGAGATCAAAGTCCCGTGGTCATTTCCTTACCTGTCGTGAATCCCCCCCCAGCAACTTTTAAGCCAGTAAAAAGGCCTATTTAAATCTGATGATACACATAATCATTCAATAATGCTAGAAATACATGCATGCAACAACCTCTCGCCCACATTTTCCAAAATTGTTTCAACATGAAGTACTTTAATAAAGCCTACACGGACGGCAGGCTCGCGTCATGTTAGCCAGCAACCTCGTCCTGGCAGAACCTCGTCCTGGCAGGGACGAGGTTGGTTAGCCAGCTATGGCAACACGATAATTGTTTTCTTAGTTTTTTGTTCAAAACGGCAAAAATAAATCAAAGTTTTACACTTTTAACCGCAGAACTATCGATTTCTAACATATATAAAGTAGGTATGTTATTTTGTTTTGTATGGGCTTTTTTATAATGCAAAATTCAACACGAAACGCTTCGAAAAACGTTTTAAATGTTCGTTGAAATTAACTGCTTTTTGCCGATAAACTCTTCAACTTTAATATTACTCGTACTTTGTAATGAAATAAACTTAAATCCTACAGGTAGCTCTCGAAAATAATTTTCTTTTTTCTTTTAAAAAATATTAAAACAAGTTTACTTTCACATAGTCATAGAATGAAAAGGAAAGCTGTACATGTTTAAGGCTAGCCTGCATGGCAGGCGGTCATTCTCGTACCCAGGGCGTTGACCGCGCGTAAGAAGGGCTCTAGCTGGGTACGAGAATGGGCAGGCGGTTTTAGGCTAGTTCAAGGCCTTCAGGCGAAAAGTCCGAAAACAGGACAACAAAGTCATACATAAACTGTGAAAACAAACATACCCAGGCCTGTGAAAAAGGTGATTTATGACTTACTGTGTAAAAAGATGTCCAAGTTTTCTGTCATCATGTTTTTTTAATATTTGCTTTCTTGACTCCTGGCAAACAGCTATATTTTTGAGATCAGTGAGATGACGACCCATGCATAGCCATGCGCCCGCGATCACTTTAGACTTTGCTGTTCTTTGCTGCTAGTGCTCTCCTTTCCTTAGGTGTAAACAGCCGAGCGGAATTAGTACCCTCGCCACAGGCTTCGCGATCCGTGCATGGATGTATGATTTTAAGTTTAACCCAAAAAATTTAACCCGATTTTTAAAAAATTATCTTTTTGATTTCGTCTTGCAATTCCACGATAGTGATTTCCGCCATCTTGCCAAAATAAAGAAATGAAGCTATCCCGCATCGCAATTCCTTAATTTTCGACATATTTAGAAAATATTTCCTTTAAAAAATTTCCCCGTCATATTCCCGTGGGTAAAATTCAAAAAAAGCAATTCCCCCACCCTCTTTTTAAGTGGTAGAACAAAGTGTTATGATTTTCCCGACTCTGGGGAAGAATTTTGTTGCAATCTACGTGTATTCTCCCACAACATCCCGTGGTCAGCCCGGGGGTCGACCCCTCGGGGAAGCCGATTACAAGTGCATAATGCTTTGTGTCTCTTGAAATTTAAGGAGAAAGGATGCGTCCCGCAAACTGTTGTTAATTCTTTCGTCAACAATGCTACCCAAATAGCTCAAACCAGTGTGGATCTTTTAAGATCAGGAGTTACAAACTGTTTGCAGAAGGCAGGAATATATATCAACACTATTCCTGGATTAAATGATTTGTTTGAACAAGATAACCCAATTTCAAATCCATTCAAAGGCATTGACAAGGAGCCACTCCAGTACAAGTATTACAAGGAAGAATTTAGCCTTGTTGTAAGTATTAATAGATCATCTCAAGAAATATTCATTTGTCACTTCCCCCCAGTGTATCCCATCCCATTTAATGAAAGCTGAATATCGAGTAATATTGCACGAGTCAATCCATACTGTTACCCCCCCCCCCCCCCCGGGCAAGTATGAAATGACTCATGCATAAGGGGCTGTTCATATAATGCTAAATGCAAACATTTTATTTTTGGAAAGAAAATATTTAGCTATAAATTCAAACATTTTATTGTGCGCAAGAAAATATTTTCATGACTTAATTGAGCCCGGTTAGCCGTGCTAGCTCAACTCGTGTAAACCAACCCTAAATAATGTTTCAATGATTCAATAGCAAATATCAAAAAATATCAAATATCCGGAAAAAATTTTAGATAGGGCCCCCCCCAAAAAAAATATGCCCCCGCCAACCTCTCGGCAGCCCTGACACTGATGGGTGGGCAATGTCATACAGTCAATCACTTATATTATCACTTAGTGTGATATAGCAATCTAGCTTGCCATTCTTTGTAGGTAAAACTAACATGATTGAATATAAAGTAACCTTTTAATTTTATGTATACTTGGTAATATAGGAGCCTCAAAAGATCATCTTGGGAAGGTATTTTGTTAAGAAGAGAAAAGGAAACAAGTTAAAAGATTTTGAAAAAACAGATGATGCTTTTTACATCCCAATTTTGGAAAGTCTCCAGCAACTGCTAAATGATGAATCAATTCTTTATGAGGTGTGTATGTTCGTAGAGATGTTTACATTTCCTATTCTAAAATATTTACAGTCAATTTCAAAAAAAATTTGAGCACAAAATTTGAATCTCATTATGAAATTTTGAACTCGACAAAGAACTTGCAAACTTTACAATGAAGTCCAGTATATAAAATCGTAAATTAACAACAAGAATGCTGTATCGGTATTCCTTTACAGTTGATTTCAGACAACTTTGACCACAAATGTTCCAACATTTGTGTCAAAGGTATCTAAAATTGACTGTAAAGGAATACAGTATTCTTGTTGTTAAGATTTTATTCAATATACATATTTGTATATTTAGTTTTATATTAAATATTTTTTAGGTTGAGAACTCTCATGGTAGAAATGATGACTTTCTTTGTGATTTATGTGATGGTAAGGTTTTCAAAAATCATCCATTGTTCAGCAAAGATCCAACCGCCCTGCAGCTTCTGGTCTTTTTGATGAAGTGGAAGTCTGTAATCCATTAGGATCAAGAGCTAACAAGCATAAACTTGGTAGGTGTTTTGCTAACAATGTAATGTGCTAGTAAAAGAGTCTGGACACATCGCCAGCTGTTTATACCCAATTCCCCTAGTTTAACCCATTAAGCGCCAGCACTCTCCCCTTGATGAGTAAAATTGTCTGGCATTTGACACAGAGTAAAATAATAAGGCGTTTGACAAAATATAATAATAAATGTGCATCAGTGTGCAATGGGTTAACTAACAGTACTCTCTCACCACAACTAAAATTGACTAGTGTTAGAAAGGGCAAAATACTGGGTTTATTGATTGTTGTGTGCTTTTTATTCATATATAGCTGCCTTCTATTATACTTTGGGAAACATCCGTCCAGAGTATCGTTCCCATATTAACTCAATCCAGCTTCTTGGACTGGTAACCAGCAAGCATTTAAAGACATATGGTGTGGATTCAGTGCTCAATGTATTTATGAAAGATCTTCATAAATTGGAACAGGTAAATCTGTCTGACATGATTCTCCAAATGTAATGTGTTATAAGATTGATCAAGCTAGACTGTAAATGTCATCATGAACAAGGTTAAGTAACAATTAGGTATTCAGGTACATATCTGTCCCCTGAATAATAAAATTAAACATTTAAATATTTACCTATATCAATTTTTTAGGATGGTGGCTATCAGTTCATAATTAAAGGGCAGCCACGATATTTTGCAGGGATTATTGCATATGTCTCAGGTGACAATCTTGGATCACAGCAACTTGGTGGATTTAAACAAGGCTCCCAATCACATAGGAAATGTCGTGTCTGTATGGGAAATGCAACAGAGATATGTGAATGTGTAAGTTCACTGCATTACCATGCTGATTGAAGTGCAAGCAGTATGATTTAAGTCAGTGATTTTTGTTTGTAAATGTAAGACTGTTTTGTTTAATTATTTTAAACCAAAAGTGTGACATTCTTATTGCACTAGAGGTGCGCCAGGGGCCGGTTGTATAAAAAAGTGATTAAAGTTAACTATGATTAAGTGCAAAGGTCATCCAATAAGAAGTGCCTATTTGAGAGTTAATCACTATTTAACTACAAAATAGTGATTTAAAAAGTGATTAAGAGTTTTATACAACCGGCCCCAGGTGTACTGAACTCTTGCATCAACATATCTGAACTCTTATATCACATATAGTAATTTGGGTGCATAGCACCCAAATTACTATATGTGATATAAACATGGGCAGTTTATAGCACTATAAAAAGTATAAAAATATTGCAGTTACCAAAATAGAATACTGATAACTATATCAGATGCACTAACTGCACATCATCTTTTCCCATAACTTTAGTTTCATGAAGATGGTTTTGTGATGCAAACAAAGGAGAGTTATAACGAACAGTGTCAGAGGCTTAATCAAGGAGACCATTTCCAGAAAACCTATGGATTAAACAAGATTTCCCTTCTCAACAACTCACGTTACTATCATGTCATTGGCGAGCTTACCTTCGATGCCATGCATGATATTTTGGAAGGTGTTCTCCAGTATGTTGTGAAAGAGTTATTGAAAGTTTATATACTCGAGAAGAAGTACTTCACACTGGAGGATCTAAATAGACGGGTCGCAGCATTTGATTTTGGTTACCACAATGACACCAACAAGCCAATGCCAATTCAACCACAGAAACTGACATCACAAGACAACAGTTTGAAGCAACATGGTATGAAAATTTATTGACAAATTACTTTGTTACGCAACCAATCTCTCAATCTACTTACTATTGCCTGCATACTACTTTATTGACGATGATAATTATTTAACATTTTCACAGCAAACCAGATGTGGTGTCTTGGCTTACATTTGCCATTCCTTATTGGTGATTATGTCCCAGAAGATGATGAGCACTGGGAGTTGTTGTGCATCTTACTCCAAACTGTGCGTATTATTTTTACGCCAGTTCTGAGCAAACACCAAGTGGCATATTTACAAGTACTTATACAGAAGCTATTAGAAAACTTCAAAGAGCTTTTCCCTGAATGCAGCATTATCCCAAAGATGCATTACATGGTTCATATGCCAAGGACAATGCTTGAGTAAGTGGACAATGCTTGACTAGTGAAGATATTGATCACATGACTTTTTCCAATTTGCTTTTGAGCATAAAATTTCACAATTTTTTGCTTGTGGCTATATAATAAACAGAACATTACACTATAATTGCTTGAAGATATGGCTTCCATCTTCTCGTGTTAAAAACAATATTTTACTCACTCGTGCTCGTTTGAAAAATCTTGTTTTCACCACTCCAAGATAAAAGTCATATCTTTGCACTGCCATGTAATATCCAATATGTATATCCACCACCCCTCCCTAATTGATTGATATCCATATTATATTTCTATCTATCACAGAATTTTTAATTTACTATTTGGCAGCCTCTCAATCTAATAACACTTGCAAGACCTGTTTAGAATCTGATCTAGGAAAAACTGAAAAATCTGCATGGCTAAAATGGGCAATCCTAATTCCTTTCAATTCAGCCACATTTTCTATTCATTTGTGCTAGTGGTCTCCCACCAACAATTAAGTAAAATGGTTTGGCATAAGGCTTAATCGTAGAATTATAACAAAGTGGGCAGAACTAAAGTGACTAGATCTAGTTATATTGCCAGTTAGTTGGTTAATATTGTGTGTCTGTTGGAGAGTCAAAGCTTTTTATTAACCCTCACTACAGATCCCTGTGTTGTTTCAATTTCAGTCATATACTCTACTGTACATTGTTATTTTAATTAACAGACTTGGCCCACTTGTGCGAAGCTGGTGTATGCGTTATGAGGCCAAACACCATTATTTCAAGAGACTGGCTATCTCATTGGGGAACTTTATTAATTTGCCATTTTCGCTGTCGAAACGTCACCAAGAGGGTGTCTCCTATCGACTACAATCTGGTGAAGGAGGGTGCAGTTCTTTTCTTGATAAGGGAATCGAAGTTGGTCCTGGTATGTTGCAATAGTTTTTAAACCAACTGTTGGACTAATGTGTTTAATAGGCCCTTTCAAGGTTAACAATGCCATAATGAAACACAATAGTGCAAGGAGTGCAAACACAATGGAATTCTCTATAGGTAAATTTGCAGGAGGTGCAAACACAATATGGTGAAAACAATAGATTAAAGATGGCATCCTTAAAGGTGATCTACAGTCAGATCTGAGCATGTGCACAAATGAGCCCGCTTTTTATGATACAAACAGTTTAACTATGTTTTGAGTTCTTGTAAAGCCTGATTGTTGTTTCTTGATAATTTATTATACTCTAGAAGCTTGAAAATATAAATAGTTGTCGAATAAAGCTCAATATTTTGGACACAAAAATGTAAACAAAGGCTTTGTTTACATACCGACTGTAGATCACCTTTAACCTTGAAAGGGACTATTGCTGGCAAATCCATACATTTCATTGAAGGCCTTATGCCACACAAGTCAACTGGTGATAATGGTCAAATAGTTTGAACACAAAAACCCATGTAGGAACTGCAGTTGCCCCCCCCCCAAAAAAAAAGTTCCCTTTTTTGAACCTGGCCCTTAAATTCCTCTTGCAACACCTACTCTATGGTCTTGATATTCCACTTTTACATTGATGTCTACACAGTTTTGTAGACACATATAAATATTTTTTAACCTTAACATTGCAATGATGTATGTACTGTACTTACTCTGTAGGTAAGACGTCCTATATTGGTGATGTAGATTACAGTGATCTACTAAACGACGAAGTCCCAGAAATTAATAGGCAAACCTCATTGTACGAGTAAGTTGATTATAGCCGTCACGCATTAGGAGGAGTTACTGTTTTTAAACTTTACTAATTTTGTATTCTTTTGTATGTTAAACATAACCCTAATACTAACTCTTACTCTAACCCTAATCTTAATCCTAACCCTTTCCCTAATCCAGACCCTAATCCTAACCCTAAAAGTCCAAAAATAGTAACTCCCCCTAAAACGTGACTCAAGTGGAGTTTCCTATTTGAAGTAAGAAAGAATTGTGTTCAACAACTAAAACAGTGGGCAGTTGTCGGCAATTTGGTTACACACTATATTTGGGTTATCGATAACAAATTGTTGTGAAATGTCAAACATGTAGTTTGTGCTAGCTATCATTTATCTGAAATTATTCTAATAAAGCTAGTTTTGTATCCCAGGCCAGCTTTCTCTTGCATATTCATCATTCATTTTCCTATTGCTTGTTCTATATTTTCTATTTGATCTGACTGTGTTCCAGAGAATACAAAATTAATATCTTTAAAAGGATAGAAAAAGTTGTGACTGTAAAAGTTCACTTAATAGGAGCTAGTTACATGGAGTGAGTTGTCCCGGATAAGCCAGTTGAAAAGTGCATAAAATCAAAGGCTATCCTGATTGGTCTTTCATTATATGCAGTTTTCATATCAGAATGTTAGGGTTTGTAATCCAAGTGAGAATATATACATTTTTAAGACCTAACCAGGAACGACTGCGAAAAATGCAGCACAAGGTCCTCTGGTAGGAATTGAACCTACGGCCCGGTGCAGCGCTCTAACCAACCGAGCTACAGAGACCACCTTATCACAACCCGCACACCCGATTACCTATATATACATGAACTTACGGTTACAGCTCAACAGCTGCACCGGAATCGCAGGGCTGTAGGTTCGATTCCTACCAGAGGACCTTGTGCTGCATTTCTTGCAGTCGTTCCTGGTTAGGTCTTAAAATGTATATATTCTCACTTGGATTACAACCCTACCATTCTAATATTAATTCCACCAAGTGAAGTGCAAGAATACAAATTATTGAAGTCCACCTTATCACAACACGCACACCTGATTACCTATATATACATGAACTTACGGTTACAGCTCAACAGCTGGACTCTGTAGCTCAGTTGGTTAGAGCGCTGCACCGGAATCGCAGGGCCGTAGGTTCAATTCCTACCAGTGGACCTTGTGCTGCATTTTTTGCAGTCGTTCCTGGTTAGGTCTTAAAATGTATATATTCTCACTTGGATTACAAACCCTAACATTCTAATATTAATTCCACCAAGTGAAGTGCAAGAATCCAGATTATTAGTTTTTATATCACCTAGTTGGGACAACTTGCTCCATGTAATCAGCCCCTTGTTACTGTAATTACACCTTATATTGTTCAAGTAGGAGTGATTTTCAATTGCCAATCTCAACTACAATAAAATGCGAAGAACAATTCAAGTTTAAATTTTGAAATAGGCAACTGCATCGTGTTCGACAACTAACCTAAACAGTGGACAGTTGTCGATAACAAATTGTTGTGAAATGTGAAGCATGTGTTGTATCCTATAGCTTTCTGTTATCTGAAATTGTTTTATAGGGCTAAATGGATATCAGTTCATGGGACGAAGTATAAATGTGGTGCTATTGTCCATATTGGTTTTGATGAGGATGAATTTCCACAGTTTTGGGAGATCAAAGAGATCAGTATAATTGACAACAATGTTGCCAAGGCTATGTTCATTGTTACAAGAAAAGAAACATTGAGATTTTCCGAGCACTACCAGGCGTATGAGATAATTGCTATGCCTAGGCAAAAGAACACTAGAGTTTTCTACTCTAAGGATTTTACTTGCCACTTACCACTTCATCAAATCAAGCCATTTAGATGTCAGGCAAAGTATGTGTGCTTGCGATATGAAATTGATATTGAGTAGTGTTACTTGTAAACAGTAAATTAATAATCTGTTTAAAATTTGACGTTTTGCGTCTAGTTATAATAATATAATATTAAAGCATATTGAAAAGTACTTGTCATTTGCCACCTTAAATTTTTTGTTCGTGTTGGAAATATTTCGTTTTTTGGCTCGTCAAGTCGGCACTCATATATATTTATTCATGCATTAACCATGCAAAATTTCTTTGTGATCATATAACGAATAAGGAGTTATTAATAATGCGATATTTGCCCCCAATTACTTGGCTATTCAACTTCATCGCTCCTTCGTCTTCCGCCATTTTGAAATCGAAAAAGTGATTATGTGGTGCTAATTTAACACCTAGAATTTAACTCCAAAAATGGTGTCGTTTTAGCACTTTAGCTTACAAGTATGGTGTTATTTTAACACCTCAAAGAGGTGTCAAATTAATAAGGTACTAAATTAGCACTTTTATATCAACAAGCCAACTTTATGGTGTTAAAGTGCCCCTGACACAAAAATTGATTTTTTGTGTATTGAAAGTGCTCATTCAGTATGGTGGTGTAGCGAAAGAATTTTTTGATTTCATCGAAACGAAAAAAATTTAGAGCCGTTTGAACACGCAAAATGTGGACTTTTTGTTCGCACGCGTCCGTGTTCGAAGGAAACTGGAACGAGCGATTTTTGTTACGTCACGCAAGTGAGTCGGCGTATTCTATAATTTATTCGACTGGTACTAACTCTTGGCGCATATAGTCCATATACAAATATACTAGATTTGTGATCGAAAAATATATGCCCTTTTACTATGTTGCAGCTAACTGTACCAATAAACCATGTTTAAAAGATGGAATAAGTTTACACAATATTCCATACTTCAATAACGAACGCGCGGAAGCTAAAAGACGAAGAAAAGTATGGGTTGGTTTTGTATCCACAAAACGTTTGTTTGTGCCGTCAAAGCTAGACTTCGACTATAAATATATGCTCGGATCATTTTTGACCAGAGGATTACGAGAGGCGATTCTTTTCGTGTCTTTCGTTGACGGGGCTCGGCAAGCCTAACTATCCGAAGCTATTAAAGACTGACGATAATTTGCTTTGTTTTGATGATTCAATTTCGGTTTTTCGGGCCCGCTATTAATATAAATATTTTGTAATACCGAAATAAAGGATGCGAATCTGAAGATACAAGCTTGAAAATAACACTCTAAATAGTGTTTTCGATTCCGGTTCGAATAAGACTATTACGAAAAAGATATTTCCAAAGGGGCCGAAGTTATGTTCGGCGAAAGATATGACTAGTTTACATTGTTCGAGCAGTATAAATTGAGTAATATAATGAATTATGACACCGCTTGACCTATCAAAGACAAAGGTCATAAATAGCTATACCATCTGACTAAAACTATAGCCTGTATCTGACTAAAAGTCTAAAACTATCCCTGGGATTTTTTTGGCTGGGAATTAGGAGATTTTGTTTCACTGAATCGAGTCGTAGTATTTTTGTCTTCATAGCATGCACCGAACCGGAGATATAAACCTTGCAAAGTCATAGAACGTCTACGTTAGCAGAGAGCCAGGCAAGGAGCTTAACATGCGCCAAATCTGAGACGCAGACGCGACTAAAAAACAGTCGCTAATAATGGGAGACTAGCTTTATTTTATTTTTCTCGTGTCCCTAGCTTTGTTTACCAACAACAATCCATAGTTTTACCCGTGAAGTGAAATTGTGATAATAGCGGCAGTTTTTCGTCACGTCCGCGTCGTATAGATTTGGTGGTTTTAATGATAATACTAGGGATCTGGCGAGATGCTACAGATCAGCATCTTCCAACACAACATATTAACCAGGTATAAAATTCGCACTGGAATCATCGGACTGATCGCTACTGTCGGATTCTGTTGTCGACATGATACTTTATAGAACCATGATAGAACTTAGAATATAAAAACACTTCAGCCGTTCAGCGATCAAAACCTTCGAGCTGATCAAAACTGATAACAGTCTAACAGACCGTCAAGATTGACTCACTTGCGTGACGTCATAAAAAATGCTATCCCCAGACTCCTGTAGCCGACGTCCATGGGCCAAAAATTTTTGTGTTTAAACCGCTCTAAAATTTTTCCCCTCTAATGAAATAAAAAAATTCTTTCACCAAAGCACTCCACATAATGTGTACTTTCAATACACAAAAAATCAATTTTTGTGTCAGGGGCACTTTAAATTAGCACCTCAATTGGTGCTAGAATAACACTTCTCATTTAGCACCACTACAAGGTGTCGAATTAACACCTACGAAGGTGCTAAATTAACACCCTGAAATTAACAGTGTAGAGTATAGTGTATGTTTGAGTGAATATCGAAGAGTAGGCTATATAGTGTAGGCCTATATTGTGAAAATATTGTAGTCAAAAGTGTATATAGTGACAATATGTGTCAATGTATGAAGTGGGATTTTCTAAGAACGAGGAAACATATTTGCCTTTATGACTTTAGTTATGTAGGATATATGACTATGAATATTTGGCACTGATTGTATATAAAGAGGGATTCTTTTAAGAACGAGAAAAGTAGAAGTCATAAAATTAATGCCTTTATGACTTCTACTTATAAATATAACCATAGCCATGCCCATAGCCATTACACAATATAGCTACACTGTATACTGGCATGGTGGAGTATATTATATATTCTGCAATACCGCGGCTTAGTGGAGTCAAAGAGGTTTGTATTCAAAATGTTTGTGTTTTACTGTTTCAAACACCAATGCATGCATGCATTGAACATTATATTCATAGTCACAAAGATAAATTATTTATCGCGCTGAGTACTATTTATTTTTTGTCCTTAATAATATTAATTGCGTCAGAGCATTACTTCATGTTCTGAAATATTTTCCGTGCCAATATGTAAATTGAAGCCAGCTACTATACTATTTAAAATTCAATTTCAGAGTGGTTGCAATTAAATCGTGGAACCTACCAAAACAAAGTCCTGCATGTCTCTGTACTGAAGCGAAGATTAAGGCCCGCAGATATTAATTCCAAAATCTGGCTGAAATAGATTTTGTTTTGAATTGATTTAAATGTTCTCAGCAAAGCGATCCTGATCCCGCACATGCTGCGTTTTTTTAATATAGATATCTTATATACTATATACACTATAGATCACGCATCAAAAATTGCCGTGATTGCAGTCCCATGAAATTAGAAGATTCGCAAATTTTCTATTTCTTAAACACGAGACTTAATTAAACATTGAGTTAAACTTATTCAAATACCTTTTTAAACTATTCAAATGATGAAGCTGTTGTTGTTTATATATAGTGTTTATTGGCGAGTGCGAATTACTAAAATTGATGCCATCTATTCAAATGGGGGAAACCGCTTGAATATTCTAGGCTTCAATTTTACAAGCAGAGATGCGCTATCTCAGTCTAGTGCATATAAGATACGTATATAGTTTCATTACAGTAATTTCAGATCCGACCAGTCTGACCATGGTATATATCCGAATGTCCCTAAATTTAAAATTGGGATTGGATATTTTAAACTCTGCTAAAAAAACTAGCGCATCCAAAATTATACTAGCCTACATTTTCTACGGCAATGAACTAATTCATTGGTTTTATTTGTTTAAACTGTATGGCATACAGTAGAACAAAAATTGTTGGAGTAAGAAGGCGTTCGAGTCAATGAGCATCTTCCGTTTCAGCAGATCTCTCTAAATTATTTAAATTTACACAAATATTTGAGTACAATTCATACGGCTAGTGTTTATAGCAATGGACACCATCTTCCGTTTAAGCAAATCACATCTCAATTCTTGGCATCTTTTGATGCGCAATAGCGTAATAATACCTCTCAAATAGGTCTATCAAGTTCCCTTAATTTCATAATGTTGAATCTTCTCACTCTGTGACCATCTTCGTCCTTCCATAAGCAAATATTTTCTCAGTTTCAAGTTACAAATATCTTACGCAGCACGTACGTATCAAAGAGGTTTGTATTCAAAATGTTTGTGTTTTACTGTTTCAAACACCACTGCATGCATTGAACATTATATTCATACTGCAAAGATAAATTACTTATCGCGCTGAGTACTATTTATTTTTTGTCCTTAATAATATTAATTGCGTCAGAGGAGTTTGCATTACTTCATGTTCTGAAATATTTTCAGTGCCAATGTGTAAATTGAATTTACAGTTTCGTCTGATGAAACAAGCGTTATATATTTAAATATGTTTGAAGCGAAACCAGGATTATTCATATTGAATATAGACGTTCTGTGGTTAAAATATTTATTTTTTACAAGCTTTCGACTGTCAATCTACAGTCTTCAACGGGTAGATTATAATGAAAGTGATGCGAGGTTTACAATTGCATATACGGTATACACAATGACGTAAATGACAGCTATACAAGATTATAGTGGCTATTTGCCTACATGGGAATGATTAATGTTTATTGATAAGAAATCGATACTGTTCCGGTAAATGTTTTGAGTTGTTATCTGAATCCTTTGTGCATGCTGTCTGCCATGACTCGAGTGTTTGTCTGTGCCGATACGTGCCTTTGTCAATAAATTTCCCGCCATCAAAATCTATTTTGTGCATGATCATTTGCCCACGCATGGTTAGCAATATTTGAACTACTATTGTCAAGTTCAACATTTTTTATGTGTTCCTTTCGTCTTGTGTTAAATGCTCTGCCGGTTTCGCCAGTGTAGCTCCATGAGCAGTCGCTACAGTTGATTTTGTAAACGACGTTAATCTGGTTTTGTGGTGGTGTCTGTCTTTGGGCGAAGGGGATAGTTGCTGTAGTGTTCGGAGAGGTTTCGTTGCTACTCGGATGTCATGGGGTTTCAAGATTCGTTCAAGTGGTTCTGTCAGGCCTTTAATATAGGGAAGTACGGCATAACGGTAGCTGGTCTGTGGCTATATATATATATATGGAAATCTCTGTAAATTATTTAAATTTACACACCAAAATTTGAGTACAATTATGCTGCTAGTGTTTATAACAATGGACACCATCTTCCGTTTAAGCAAATCACATCTCGATTCCTGGCATCTTTTGATTCGCAATAGCGTAATAATACCTCTCAAATATGTCTACCATGCAAGTTCCCTTAATTTCATAATGTTGAATCTTTTCACTCTGTGACCATCTCCGTCCTTCCATAAGCAAATATTTTCTCAGTTTCAAGTTACAAATATCTTGCGGAGCGCGTATCAAAGAGGGAGTAAGGTCCGATATTGCAGAATATGCACTTTATATCTAGGCCTATTGTGTAAATAGTGTATATATATATATATATATATATATATATATATATATATATATATATATATATATATATATACACAGAATAGCCTGTATATTGCGTATATGTATACACTATAGAAATCTATGATATATTGTGTATATTCTGCAGCCTATATAAATAGTCACAATAGACAATGTATAGTCAAAAGTGTATAAAGTGTATATAGTGAGTGTTTGAGTGAATCAGTCCAAGAATATATAGGCCTAGTGTATATTGTATATATAAAGTGTCTAAATATACACAATATAGCCTACGTATGTTATCAGTATAGAGTCAAAAGTGTATAAAGTGTATAGTGTGTGTTTAATTGAATGTCAAAGAGTATATAGTGTATATTGTCATTGTGTATATAATGTCTATATATACACAATATACGTATATTATCAGTATATATGTCATTTATTTATTTTGCCATTTATATATATATATATATATATATATATATATATATATATATATATATATATATATATATATATATATATATACACACACACACTTAAGAACTAACCGGGTGCCCACAACAGCGTGTGAAGCCAATTACTGTGGTCCCGATAAGTGAGAGAATTATGCACTAACTACAACATGACGTGGAGATCCTAAGTATGCGTGTTGAATTGCAAAATTGCAATTGTTAATAGTATATGGTCAAAAGTGTATAAAGTGTATATAGTGAGTGTTTGAGTGAATGTCAAAGAGTATATAGTATATATTGTGTATATAGTGTCTATATATACACAATATACGCATATTATCAGTATCATAGTCAAAAAGTGTATAAAGTGTATATAGTGTGTGTTTGAGTGAATGTCAAAGAGTATATAGTGTATATTGTGTATATTGTGTATATATAGTGTATATATATATATATATATATATATATACACAATATTAGTTTAGTTTAATGAATTTGCCATATATTACATATAATATCATTAATTATAAGTATATGACAGGAGTTTGAACAGGACTTGCGAAATACGTATATTATCAGTATATAGTCAAAACTGTATAAAGTGTATAAAGTGTATATAGTGAGTGTTTGAGTGAATGTCCAAAAGCAGGCCTATATAGTGTATATTGTGTTTCAAAAACTCATTAATAATTCACGAGGAGAACACAAAGAAAAATCATAAGCGTGTCGTGGTTTTATATGTGATAAAAAATCATGTTAATTTACATAAACTTTATAGCTCTGATTTTCTCGGTTTAGACAAAGTTTATTTTAAAAATTACTTCGCCAATGAACTCGTATAAGATGAGTCGTTTTTAAAACCATACTAAAGCACTTGTAGTCGTCTTTTATCACATATAAAACACTCCGCTACGCGTCGTGTTTTATATATAGAGTATAGTGTATGTTTGAGTGAATATCAAAGAGTAGGCTATATAGTGTAGGCCTATATTGTGAAAATATTGTATAGTCAAAAGTGTATATATTGACAATATGTGTCAATGTATGAAGTGGGATTTTCTAAGAACGAGGAAACATATTTGCCTTTATGACTTTAGTTATGTAGGATATATGACTATGAATATTTGTCACTGATTGTATATAAAGAGGGATTTTTAAGAACGAGAAAAGTAGAAGTCATAAAATGAATGCCTTTATGACTTCTACTTATAAATATAACCATAGCCATGCCCATAGCCATTACACAATATAGCTACACTGTATATACTGGTGGAGTATACTGATTATTATATATTCCGCGGCTTAGTGGAGTCAAAGAGGTTTGTATTCAAAATGTTTGTGTTTTACTGTTTCAAACACCACTGCATGCATGCATTGAACATTATATTCATAGTCACAAAGATAAATTACTTATCGCGCTGAGTACTATTTATTTTTTGTCCTTAATAATATTAATTGCGTCAGAGCATTACTTCATGTTCTGAAATATTTTCAGTGCCAATGTGTAAATTGAAGCCAGCTACTATACTATTTAAAATTCAGTTTCAGAGTGGTTGCCATTAAATCGTGGAACCTGCCAAAACAAAGTCCTGCATGTCTCTGTACTGAAGCGAAGATTAAGGCCCGCAGATATTAATTCCAAAATCTGGCTGAAATAGATTTTGTTTTGAATTGATTTAAATGTTCTCAGCAAAGCGATCCTGCATGATCCCGCACATGCTGCGTTTTTTTATAGATATCTTATATACTATATACACTATAGATTACGCATCAAAAATTGCCGTGATTGCAGTCCCATGAAATTAGAAGATTCGCAAATTTTCTATTTCTTAAACACGAGACTTAATTAAACATTGAGTTAAACTTATTCAAATACCTTTTTAAACTATTCAAATGATGAAGCTGTTGTTGTTTATATATAGTGTTTATTGGCGAGTGCGAATTACCAAAATTGATGCCATGCATCTATTCAAATGGGGGAAACCGCTTGAATATTCTAGGCTTCAATTTTACAAGCAGAGATGCGCTATCTCAGTCTAGTGCATATAAGATACGTATATAGTTTCATTACAGTAATTTCAGATCCGACCAGTCTGATCATGGTATATATCCGAATGTCCCTAAATTTAAAAATTGGGATTGGATATTTTAAACTCTGCTAAAAAAACTAGCGCATCCAGAATTATACTAGCCTACATTTTCTACGGCAATGAACTAATTCATTGGTTTTATTTGTTTAAACTGTATGGCATACAGTAGAACAAAAATTGTTGGAGTAAGAAGGCGTTCGAGTCAATGAGCATCTTCCGTTTCAGCAGATCTCTCTAAATTATTTAAATTTACACAAATATTTGAATACAATTCATACGGCTAGTGTTTATAGCAATGGACACCATCTTCCGTTTAAGCAAATCACATCTCAATTCCTGGCATCTTTTGATGCGCAATAGCGTAATAATACCTCTCAAATAGGTCTATCAAGTTCCCTTAATTTCATAATGTTGAATCTTCTCACTCTGTGACCATCTTCGTCCTTCCATAAGCAAATATTTTCTCAGTTTCAAGTTACAAATATCTTACGCAGCACGTACGTATCAAAGAGGTTTGTATTCAAAATGTTTGTGTTTTACTGTTTCAAACACCACTGCATGCATTGAACATTATATTCATACTGCAAAGATAAATTACTTATCGCGCTGAGTACTATTTATTTTTTGTCCTTAATAATATTAATTGCGTCAGAGGAGTTCGCATTACTTCATGTTCTGAAATATTTTCAGTGCCAATGTGTAAATTGAATTTACAGTTTCGTCTGATGAAACAAGCGTTATATATTTAAATATGTTTGAAGCGAAACCAGGATTATTCATATTGAATATAGACGTTCTGTGGTTAAAATATTTATTTTTTACAAGCTTTCGACTGTCAATCTACAGTCTTCAACGGGTAGATTATAATGAAAGTGATGCGAGGTTTACAATTACATATACGGTATACACAATGACGTAAATGACAGCTATTTTGTGATCATTTGCCCACGCATGGTTAGCAATATTTGAACTACTATTGTCAAGTTCAACATTTTTTATGTGTTCCTTTCGTCTTGTGTTAAATGCTCTGCCGGTTTCGCCAGTGTAGCTCCATGAGCAGTCGCTACAGTTGATTTTGTAAACGACGTTAATCTGGTTTTGTGGTGGAGTCTGTCTTTGGGCGAAGGGGGATAGTTGCTGTAGTGTTCGGAGAGGTTTCGTTGCTACTCGGATGTCATGGGGTTTCAAGATTCGTTCAAGTGGTTCTGTCAGGCCTTTAATATAGGGAAGTACGGCATAACGGTAGCTGGTCTGTGGCTCTACGAGGTTGAAAAATTCCTTAAGTAGTTCTTCAGGTGGACGTGCATTTTCCTGCATCATAACTCGTTTCTTTTCGACTTCTTGTAAGAATTTCTGGGGGTATCCATTTAATAGTAAGGTGTCATGTACGTGCTTACGTTCTTGTTGTTTTCCTTCATTATAGTATTGGGTAGTCTTGTTGCTCTGTGTGAGAGGGTTTGTGCAGTACTAACTTTGTGTTGTTTGTCGTGGTGTGAATTGTAGTCTAAATATCTGTCTGTGTGCGTGCGTTGGTTTTCTGTAAACGTTTGTCAGTAATGAACCATGAACTAAGACGTCCAGAAATGATAATTTTCCGTCTGATTCGTGCTCTATAGTAAATTTAATGTGTGTGTCAATTGAGTTAATAAGTAAATTAAAGAAACTAGTTAACGCATATTTTTTGATGATTAAAAAAATGTCATCAACAGAGCGAAACCATTTCTTAGGCGGTAATGTAGATTGGCTATGTGCTAATTCCTCAATTTCCTCCATGCAGAGGTTAGCCACAACAGGGCTTACAGGACTGCCCATAGCACAACCATGAATTTGTTTATAAGTTTCATTGTTGTAATTAAACAAAACTATTAATTGGAGAGAGTAAAACGTAGAAGATCAATTATGTCATCTATAGTTATCCAGAGAACGTCTATACTCAAAGCGTAACTTAAACGGGGAATTCGAAATTTGACCAAGGGAAAATGAAATTTATTCAAATTAGCGAGGAATCTTAGTTAAGCGAGTTTGGGTTAACCGGTGTTAAATGTACTATCAAATGCAGGTGAAATCGGATTTTGTTCAAATGAGCGGGGAGTTCGAGCTAGCTGGATCATGCAGTCTACGGCATTTCATTTTGATCAGTAACACACCTGCGTTATAGCTACAATGCAAAGTATTAAATATTTTTATTGATTAGCTAGATGATACATATCAGTTAAGCCATATTTCGTTAAGATTGTCAAAAACAGTAGTTAATATATAATATGAGTCATATAAAAGAATGTATATACTGGACTTTTTACACTATACTGATTTTATATTCTTATACAAGTTATAGCCAATGAATTCCGCTGAAACTTATCATTTTAATGTAGTTAAAATGCACTCTGCCAATATCTCAATCATCCTTCCAAAAGACTGCTAGGCCTTTCTAATAATAGATTAGTTCAATTGGTATCACTAAGTAGTTAAAAATGCACTTTGCCAATATTATCTCAATCATCTTTCCAAAAGACTGCTGGGCCTTTCTACTGATAGATTAGTTCAATTGGTTGTGTTTATTTACACACTCTGGGTGAATTGATTGATTGAGCTTTACTCTGTAATGAGTTATTCATGAATTTGATTATTAATACATTTCGATTTTTCAGGATTACTATCGTACCAAAGTGGTCACAATGAAACATTCGACAGTTGCACTGCTTCTCTTCGTTCTTGTGCTGATTCAATGTACCTTCGTTGAATCTTGGTGGTTCCGCCGTAGACGTAGAACAAGTAGCTCTCACTGCAGATACCCTACTTCTCGATACGGTAATTATGGTAAGATTATGAGCACATATACTATACGTATAGGTTTTTATTTTTGGAACACAATGAAAATAGTGGTTGCTTTATGTCATATAGATGGAGAAATATATCATATAACTAGTTTTCTGTTTTTCACTACATGAAGTCCTTCTCATCCGTTCAGGAATACTCAGGACGTGAGTAATTACGAAAAGTTCCCTCCTTATATAAATATACTGTGAAACGTGAATACTGTTAAATACTGTTTGCATAATTTAATATTTTTAATGAGCTAGGGGCGTAGGAATTCTCCTCCCCATTCCCCTCCCAAACATTTTTGCTTGCTGAAAATTATTTATTGAGTAGAAAATTGTGTGTTTTTTTCATTAAAGTGGAATCGTTCTTCCAAACATAAATAACACGATTCGAACCTCACGTCAGAATGCATACCTGCTTTAAGTTTGACAATTTGATGTTAAATTCCCTGTTGGTATTCCTGATTGTTTAATTTTAGTATTCTTTAATTTATCTGCCTCGTCCCAAGTTGCTTCTCTCTATAGAAATCAGTGGGAAAATAATTACGAGCGCCCGGTGCGAAATGGGAAGGGAGTAAAGGGAAAGCAGCAGGCAGATCTTGCATCTAATATGGCATGCAATATTAAAATTCATAGATATTTTATATGGATCACATACTCGTAGAAATTGCTAGCCTGTGTCACAGGAATTGCAGGTAGTCTTAAGCTAGGCGATAAAGACAATGCTTGCCATATAAAAGCATTGATATATTGTACAAAGGCAAAATTAATTTCGTCAAACGATATAAAAAGAATACATATATCTCTCAAGCCATATACGTGTGGCTATACCACTGCCAAACCTACTATCCGACAAACCTACTTGATCAGACAATTTACTGTGACAAACACAAATGCGAACCTATAAACGTGACAACACGTTTAATGCCAACTCAAACAGCAAAAAAGTACAATAACAGTGCAATGAAAGTGAAACAATTAAACAAAAGATTGCTTAATTCGTTATTATCGACGGATTTCTAGTTTTCGACTAGTACATTTTCAAGACTTTAAGGACATTTGCAGCCACGATCTGACAGTCCCTCACAAAAGCACCCGCCTAGTGGACAGCACACGGGCGATTGTGAGGAACTGTGGAAAGTTATGTTTTTTTATTGCGAATAGATGTAGTGAGGTCCGCGAACAGTTCTTTAATTAAAATATAGTGCCTCTCACAGTTTATCCGGTGTTTAAAAAAAAATCAGAATTGGAAAATGAGGTAAGTCTGCGAGCAAAGATTCCATATTTTCATTTCCTTAATGTTTTGACGGCAACTTGACCCACCGTTAAAGAGCTTATGTTGTAAGGATTTCAACGGTGGTAGTTTTATTACAAGGTGTGCAATGCGCACAATGAAAATCGGGCTCAAAGATACTGCAATGTATTGCGTGGCAGACCACAAAGAGTTATATTGTTTGTGCTGTGAACATTTTAGGTGCTCGAAGTGAGTATTTCTATGGAACAACCAGTTTGTTTAAAGGCAGGAAACGATTCTTTGGTAATTGGAAACTAAGTCACAGCCTGATCATGTTTCGTGGCAAGATCTTTGAATGGGGATTGGGAAAACCAAAAACCTACAAAATGAATCGGAATCCTGGTCATTGTGCAATCAGTTGGACCTGGGGAAGTAAAGGCTCAAGCAAATGTTATCGAAGTGATGCGGAGACCTGGACCCGTAACTATCGCAGACGTTATGGTAGATACAAATTGTTTACCAACAATTGCCATTACTTTGTCAACCGACTGATGCGATACTTGAGGACAAACTGTGGACGTTGAGAGCAACATGAATGATCCGATTCCCCAACTTGTAAAAGGACCTTGATCATTGGACTAACTTTTCAACTTTTTATAGAATATTGAATTTATAGAATTAATTCTTAACTACAGCAGAAACAAGCTTGAAGCTATAGTATAGTAATAGTGCGCATTTCCAAATGGGTTGTTTCAAACAAATAGATAATATGCATAATTTAAGCAAAGCTACAGTAGTTAATACGTACTACAATGTAATCTTAAACGTGTGCGTAACTCAACACTTTAGAAGAAGTAGCGCATAATTATAGTGTGCATAAAGTTGTAATTCTAATAAAATCACGCTTCTGTCTTTCATTAGACTGTTTTGTATATAATAAAAAATGCCTATAAAGGATAAGCCCCTTTTGGAAACCCTGCTTGTCGTACTTAAGTATACGTATATGGTGAAATTACTAACCCCAACCCCCTATTATTTGCCTTTATAACACTAACCATAAAAAGGGTGGGAGTGAATTTTAAAACAAACTTAATTGATACGAAAATGACGGAAACTATTATTAGCGGGAAAAGTGTTAAATTACTTTATCCCCTACCCATTCATTCCACACGAATTGAAACGCGGCCAATTGAACATAAAACGCGGCGGGGAGATTGAAACACGTGTTTCGCTGGACCGGACTTTGGAGACAGTGGAGAACAAAATTTGGCCTCACTTTAACTGATTGCCTTCAAATCTGAAGTTTGCTGAACCGCCGAAGCGGCAACACGTATAATTACAATCAATTGCGAGCTAAGGTTACTTTTAAGTTATGCATACAGATGACAACATATATGGCGTCATATCACCGCCAATATTCATGTATATCATGCTTTCGACATTGAAGTAAAATAGAACATTCAGCACCTACGTGCTTTCGACATTAAAGATAAATCTGACATTGAACATGCAGAACATTCAACATATTTTCGACATTGAAGTTAAATAGGACATTCAACACCTACGTGCTTTCGACATTGAAATTAAATCTGACATTGAACATGCAGAACATTCAACATATTTTCGACATTGAAGTTAAATAGGACATTCAACACCTACGTGCTTTCGACATTGAAGTTAAATCTGACATTAAACATGCCGCGAATTTAGCACCCATCGCAACTTCAACGTTCAAAATATGTTGAAAAAATTACCACATGTTGAATATTGGCGGAGTTGAACGATAGCGTCAAATCTCCGCCAACACTAATTAAGCTAACACAAGACAACCCCCCGGCAACATTCACTCGTGTCCAGACCTCTAGAACATATCACATGACGCTACTGATGCATGACGCCAGCAGAGGATCGGATTCGCCGCATCTTGTCGCTGTATTCGAGGCCGTATATTCGCCATAATATTCGCGTATATTCGCTTGTTTGTCTTAAATTAATTGACTTTTATAGCGCAGATTGAATTGAACCGAGAGGCAATAATTTTCGCAAGAGATGCTCTGTTGGAAGTTGCTGAACGATTGAGACAACAGTCAACAGCTGGTAATGTATAAAAATTGATAATATTATTTTATTTATTTATTTATTTATTAGATTATATTTTAAAAATTCCTAATAATCGCATTATAAATGATCGATACATTTTAATATTTAGAGTGTAATGGCAAAAACAATGCGTGCGTCAATGTGAACTTTTGCCGCGGCAGAAAGGCAGATGGTGGTGTAATTTGATAGTACTTGTCAATTTAGCATAATTTTGCGCACTTTTCTTTACGGATCCGTTAGCCTTTTATAATTTTATTTATCATTTTTTATACAACTAATTAAGGTACCTGGAAGGTAGGGATTGCTGCGGGCATTAAAAGCAAATAGAACTACAGTAAATAGTACAAATTATATCAAGCGCAGTTATTACTCGCATTACCCTAGTTACTATATAGTTAATATATAAAGAAAACCATCTGCCTTTCTGCCGCAGCAAAAGTTAACGTTGACTAACGCATTGTTTTTTCCATTACACTCTAATTCTCTAAATATTAAAATGTATCGATTATTTATAATGCGATTATTAGGAATTTATAAAATATAATCTAATAAATAAAATAATATTATCAATTTTTATACATTACCAGCTGTCACTGTTGTCTCAATTGCTCAGCAACTTCCAACAAAGCATCTCTTGCGGAAATTATTGCCTCTGGGTTCATTCTACGAGATTTTGCGCGTTTTGCGTCTCTGGCAATTCAATCAGCGCTATAAAAGTCAATTAATTTAAGACAAACAAGCGAACATACGCAAATATTATGGCGAATATTTGAAACGTTTGAACTTGTATCTACTATTATTAAAACGTAACTATTTTAATCTAATCTAAAGTTGTAACTAGAGACCTTAAATAAAAGCCTTATGGTTTATTGGTTTCTAGAAGGTTCCTAGCCCTATGTAACTAGTTTCTATTTTATGATTTATTTGTATATATATTAATGTAATTTGGGCGAATAAAAAAATGTATATATACGGCCTCGAATACAGCGACAAGATGCGGCGAATCCGATCCTCTGCTGGCGTCATGCATCAGTGGCGTCATGCGATCTGCCTCCTCCGCAGGCCCTCGTTGTGTCATGGGAAGGTCACGATTTCGAGAGGGTCTGCGGAATCTTGTAAAATGAATAAATGTTGTTTTGAACCTGCTTCGTTAAAGAAGGCAGTTTTATTCGTGCAACGTTGGTGTGGACAACAAACCTTATCGTTAAAAAATGCTTCCTTCCACGTCCTAAGAGTCCCCAGTGTAATTTACAAGTTTCACGCCGCTTTTTTATATCCTGTTTATATTCAAGATTATGTAGAAATTTACTTGCTGACGTGACGCCGGCGCCATTTTTTTTACAAGATTCCGCAGGCCCTTGCCAGATCGTGACCTTCCCATGACGCAACGAGGGCCTGCGGAGGAGGCAGTCATGCGATATGTTCTACAGGTCTGGACACGAGTGAATTTGGCCGGGGGTTGTCTTGTATTAGCTCAACTAAATATTGGCGGAGATTTGACGCTTACTATCAACCCGGGTTGGCTTGTCAGCCCGGGTCAACCCGTCTATAGGCCGTGGGATGAGCATCCAAAAGATGCAATTCCGTTGCACCCCTCGTGGAACTACGTAATTTTCACATGAATAAATAAATAAAAACTTACTTTATCAGAATCCGTTGCTCCCCAAGTGAAACAGGTGCACAATTGGGAGATAAATCCCTCCAAAGTTTGATATTTTCGCGCTTCGAAATATTCGAACCGCCATTATTTTGGTAGCAAATACGCATGCGCAACTCAGCCAAACTCGCACTGCGCACGCGCAGACTATAAAAATAGATTCCCACTGGGGGGTTTCCCCGATTTCCTCCGCAAAAACAACAAAATAAAATTACGGAATACTGATCAAACCTTGTAATATAAATACACCCACATTAAATATTGTTAAAAACACATTGTATATTTTGCTTGCTCATATGCTAAATCACTTCAATCATTGGCTATTGTTTCAAAATACCGTTTTAACGTTTAATTCCACTTTATATTAACATCCTAATTCAATACAAATTTGTGTGAGGTAAAAAACCCACCTGTATCAAACAGGACGGAAAATAAAAAATATATATGCATACAATTCACACGATCAAGGAACAAATGAAATATTTCGCTAAACTTAAAGCCTTGGCCAAACGTAAGAAACAATGTTGCGGAAATATTCGTGATTTTTAATTGGCTTTTATTGCAGACGCAAAATTTGCTTCCCAGAAAGCAAATTATTTCCTAGCAAATTCAGATTTCAGAAGCATTTTATGAAACACTCTTTATCCGTTTGCCGACGCTGATAAGACAATATGACATAACGAAAGATTGGAAAGACAAATAATATGACAACAGTGTTTCCCAGTTCGTCCCGGGCTTTAAGGGATATTAATATAAACTCGAAATTCATCATAAAAAAAGATAAATTGGGAGGAAATATAAAATCCATAATTTCATTATAGCTATCTATAATTGAAAGAAATGTTTTCATCTTTGAACCCAGATTTTCATCAGAGCAATAAAATCCCACTTATTGGATCCTGGCCAAGGGCTTGCATGCTCAAAACGAGATTGCATGTATTCTGCAATAAGCTGTCCTGGCTTTTGTCTGGTAAAGTTCTACTTCTCGTATTTGAACTATTTCATGTATTATATTTATATTGTGACATAAGTTGGTATTTAGCCACTATCTAGAATAACAAGGAACGATTCAGCCGGGTTTTTCGTGTTAATTATTTTATTTACATACTGTTAACCCTGTCCATGAGAGGGATATATGTGTTGATAATATAAATACTGTGGATCCGAATGAGAATATCAAATAAGTAAATAAATACTGATCTACTCCACTGATAATACCTACATGCATTACCATCATTGTTCACCTCAAATCATTAATAATTTATGAGAAATTAGCCAACCATATTGCTTTATTTTGCTCACATGATAATACTAGATACTTTATGAAGTATATTGATCCTGTAGTGTCCTAGGACTGGATTAAAATTAATTCAGTCCTTGGACTGGATCAAAATTAATTAAGTAGTGATTTATTCGTACATGAGATGTCATTTCAAGTCCTCCAATTCGGACTGGACTAGATTTCAAGCCCTCACATTTTGATCCAGTCCTCTGATTCGCCTCGGACGTGATCAAATTGCGTGGACTTGAAATCTAGTCCAGTCCTCATAGTCGGATTTGAAATATTATCCCTTGTCAAATCAGATGCCAATGGTGGCCAAGGAAGATTCAGTTTTGGTATTTCTTGCACCTTTTGGTGAAGAATCAATGCAGCATTGTATAGAATTTGTAACTCATTGACTTTAGAATTTCCCTCCGTTTCTCTGTTGGAATTCACATCATCATCATCAATGGTACAGCTCTCTTCATCAAAGTCCTCATCATTGTTTTCAGACTTAGGGCCTGTTTATCAGTGATGTAAGTACTCGTTACTAAAGTAACGCGTTACTAATTACTAATTACTTTTTGGGTAATTTTTCGTTAATTAATTACTTTTTGCACGAAAGTAATTTGTAACGTAATCAATTAGTTTTTGAAGGTAACGAGTAACATTTTAAAAAAGTAATTTGCGTTACTTTTGGGCACTTTTATTATTTTCCAAAAAAACGATGATGACGATGAATTTTTCAAGTCAAAGAAGAAGGCAACCAAATCGCCTTTAGATACCTACTTGGCTTTAAACATTATTGATGCCACAGTTTACAATGGACAATGTACAGTACCTTTGAAGCAAATGGCTTTGAAGCTGAACACCGTATTGCCTGCAAGTGCAGCTGTTGAACGTCTTTTCAGCTGTGGAGGCTTGATCATGCGCCCGCACCGAAATCGGTTAACTGATGACCATTTTGAGTTGGCACTACTTTTAAAGCTGAACTCCAAATTAAATACTGTTGCATGCATAAGTCTTAACTCTTAACTTTGGAACTGCCTTTTGAATTAACCTTTTTATTGTTGTTTAAGTCCATGAGAACTTGAAAGTAATTTCAAAGTAATTAGTAATTAATTACTTTTTAAAAAAGTAATTAGTAATCGGTAATTAATTACATTTGAAAGACAGTAATAAGTAATTAGTAATAATTACTTTTTTGGAGAAGTAATTGTAATTTTACTCGTTACGTTTTTTTGGTAATTTTCACATCACTGCTGTTTATATGGAAGCCGGGCTGGCCTGATAAGCAAGACAGCCCGGTAAGCAAGATCTCGCTGTGTAGTTATTCTTATAGTAAAAATTATCATGCGTTTATATGGACAAGCGGGCTGGCCCGGTTGCCGAGATCTCGTTTGAAAGAGGCTACTCAGGCTAGATCTCGCTTACCGGGATGGAAATTTCTCCATATAAACATTTACGAGCGGGCTATCCCGGTTGCTGGGATGAAAGTTCAAAAATACCGCCACAAGCTATTTTTAACAACTGTCAAAACAATACAATGTAACAAAATTGTCCTGGCAAGCTGGATGACAGTTTCTCATATAAACACAAGAGAAATTCACCCCGCTTACTGGGCTGCCTCGCTAAGTGGGCCAGCCCGGCTTCCACATAAACAGGCCATTAATTGACATATGTTCCTCAACCAATTCAGAAGAATCCAAATTTTCCACATATACAATCTCACTAACATTTCTCATTTTTGGTACACAGAACACAAGTTGGGGATAACTTTTCATCAGTCGTTGCTTGAGTTTAAAAGCTCTATATCTAGATGCATCCACATTCTCAGTGTCCTTAGCAATGATAACAAATTTCTCCAGCATATCTTTCATATACTTTATTTGCTTATTTCTGATAACTTCCATCTCAATTACTTTCTTACAGAATAAATCATAAGACTTCTCGTACAGTGATACTCTCGTTGCTTCTTCGTCTCTCTGGTGAAAAATATTGTATAATTGCAGTAGCAAATTTTGTGATAGCGGATTTCCAGAGCTACACAGTCTTTCCCCTGGATTTGCATGAGTATCTGTAATCTGTTG